ATTGTAATTTGAGCAGCTGTAAAATCTTCTTTCCGGATTTTCAAATGTCCAAGAGGTGTACAATGGTGCCTCTTTACCACATCCACACATTTTTTGGGGTGATCTTTCAACGTTATTTGAAACACTTTGTGACATTTTTATGATGCTTTCGGTTGACAAAGAAAAATTTTAGGAGTTGTTGGATCTGCTAAAATGAAAGAAAAAAAATAGGCTGCAACTGGATAAAAACATGAGAGGGAAAAAATAGGCTAAAAAGTATTAGACACCCCCTTTTATAACTCATTGAGGGACATTTTAGTCATCCAAAACAAACGGCTCTCTTCCAATGGCAATTTTGGCATCTTGAAGTTTTTAACGGTGTAATTGCTTAGCTAGACTGACGAAGGGGGTAAACTGAGGAAAAACAAATGTTGAGGGGGTAAATTGAGAAATGGCCCATACTTAAAGGGGATAAAGTGCAATTAACCCTTTTTTTTTATCAATTTGTTTATTTATTACTAAAATCATTAATGAACTCCAATATTTGATAACATCCAGAACAATTAATATCTAAAAAATAAATATTCCTAACACAATAATAAAATATAATAATTTATATATATATGGTCCTAGTTAAATTTCATTCCATAATTGCACTTTTTTTAGATTCATGAGAATATCTTGCTAGTATGATTCAATAGTAGGAAAAAAAATTTATTATTAAAAAATTAAAATATGAAAATTATTTTTAAAAGTCTAAAAATGATCCGCATATTGTTAGTTTTCCTTAGTAATGTGCATATGGCTAAACTTTTTTTTAATAGCTAGACCATTTTTATATGGAAGTATACATATTTTTTTATTGATAATACTAAAAAAGAGAAATATGGTTAATTTCCAGAGTTGTTATTTTAATATATACTTATATGCTATTAAAATTTATTTGAATTACTAAATTTTTCTTTTTTTTTTTTTGCATCTAAAAAGTTTATGTTGAGTGATACAAAATATTAGAGTTGACTAATGGTTTTAAGGACTAATAGACAAATTAAGAGAAAAATGATATAAGCCAATAAAGTACAAAATAGCTATAATTTAGGAGAATTTACTGTAGTTAGCCCTTAGGGTATGAATGTCTTTTTGACATTTCCGTTATGTAATGTTAGAGTTGACTAATGATTTATGGGGTAAAGTGAGAAAAAAATAACGCTAGGAGGTAAAGTGCAAACTGGTTAAATCGTACGGGGAGTTTTCATAATTAGCCCTTTAAAAAGCCGGCTGAGTAGCAAGCGGAAATGCAGACAGATGCATTCAAGTAAATTTCGAGTTCCCCACTCAAGAGCCAGAGTGATTTCAGATTGAGGGATTGAGTATAGGATTAATCACATTTTATCCCCTTTAAGAATACTCCATTTTTCAGTTTATCCCCTAACCTTTAATTTTGCTCACTTAACCCCCTTTAGGACAAAATTGCCCTTGTATTATTTTGGCTTTCCATTTACCTTGTTTTCCTTTCTTTTTTATTTAATTCTTCCTCTTTCCCACAAAAATCTTCACCTTAATGATTGAAATTAAAAAAGAGGAATTGCAGATATCTATATTCTCCTTAAATGATTAAAAAAATATTCAAATCACTTTCCTAAAATACAATTTTTTTAGTCTTTTAATTATTTTAATTTTGGATTTTTCTCTTTCTTTTCTAGGTTCTCATTTTATTCCCAAGAAAATATTTTAAGATGAAATTGTGACCTGATTAATAATCATCAATTGAAATTTGTGACACGTGGCATCATACAAAAAATCAAAATTTAGTTTTTGATGTCTCTTAAACTTTCACCTAAAAATATGCAATTACAAACTCAAAACAAAAATTTTCGTTGAAATGGAATTTTTATTGGAAAGGATGAAAAAGAGAAGCAAGAGAAAAAGAAATAAAAGAAAGGAAAACAATTTCATCTTATAATATTTTCTTAAGAATAAAATGAGAAATTAGAAAGAAAAGAGGAAAATCCAAAATTAAAAGAATTGAAAGACTAAAAAAATTGTATTTTAGGAAAGTGATTTGAATATTTTTTTAATCATTTAAGGAGAAAATAGATCTCTGCAATTCCTCTTTTTTAATTTCAATCATTAAGGTGAAAATTTTTGTGGGAAAGAGGAAGAATTAAATAAAGAAGAAAGAGCAAAAGAAATAAAAGAAAGGCAAACAAGATAAATGAAAAGTTAAAATAATGCAAGGGTAATTTTGTCCTAAAGGGGGTTAAGTGAGCAAAATTAAAGGTTAGGGGATAAATTGAGAAATGAGGTATTCTTTTAAGGGGATAAAATGTGATTAACCCTTGAGTATAATTGTGTCAAGTTTATGGAAGCAGAAAGAAATTGCAATTGCCCAAAGTGAGCATGGGCCAAAACTGTATAGGGCAAAATAAGAGAGGTCTTTTGCTGAAACACTCAAGCCCATAATCTGACGGCTATTTTTGAAATTTGCCGCCAGACACGAGCTCCTCTGTTTCTTCCACTTTCCTAAATCCAACCGGTTTCGTATAGTATTTAAGGATTCTGTTCATTGTTACTCTAAACTACAGGCCGCAACGAAATCAAGAACATAGTGATCATATCATCGAGGGTTACATTCCTTGATCTTGGAATAGCAAACTACCCGAAGGGAGCGATAAACTTCATCATTATTCATATCATCCAAAACTAGTTTCTTCTTCCTTCTTTGATCCCTAGCAAGTAGTAACAAAGTAGTTATATCTTGGTTTTCTTCAGAAAACTATCTGGTTTGATTCTTGGGTTTGGGAGATTTGGACCTCTAGAAGTACAATCATTCTTGGGTTGGTTGGTTTTTGTTGTTACCATCGCACATGGGAGTAGCTAAGAACGGCATGGTCGGGAAGAAGAACAATCCAGTGGGGAGAAAATCAACGTCGCAAATTAATGGGAGCAAGGATCAAAAAGTTGCTCAAGTACTTCTGGTTTCTAGATGGTCATGAAAGGGATGGAAAAAGAAAGAGAATATTGGATACTTTAAAAAGATGGAAACGCTGCAAGAAGAAGATTGGTGCAATCAGTAGTTGTAAAACCAAGCAGCAGGAAGGAATTTTGGTGTTTTTGGTGATCAAAACTGCAGCAAAAGTCGACCAAATCCTGATGACGAATACGTTTTGAAGAAGGCTTTAAGTGCAGTTAGGTTAATACCTCGCTTTTCTGAAATCATCTCTACAGCAAAAGCTGACAAAATTGATGTCCATGTCCATCAAGATTGGAACGATAACATGGCGCTATGGGAGGAGCTTAAAGCAGAAACAATAAGAGCAGCAGCGCAGCACTTAAAGAAGAAAGAAGCTGAATTGAGGCAAAAAGAAAGGGAAGCTGCCCTTTTTGCGTTGCAGATGATGGAAAGCACAGTTGACTTTGAGGACAATCTCATGATTCTCAGGAACTTGAGCAACTAAGTCAGTGTTCTCCCTCTTACGTTGTCCATGGAAGTAACAGATCGGCTATGATGGTATTGAAAGGCTTAAAGACCGATAAGGCTGTGCACCATTCAGAACAGTTTGGCTTGCACTTGAAGGAGGAATTCGTGGCAGCAGATGATGCTGAAGACACATATTTATGTTGGGAAGTAGAAGAAGGAGAGATAATCTAATACTAGTACTTTTGCACATCATGTTAACTTGTGTAGATCCCTAGTTGTTCAAATTGTTAACTTTTGTCTGCAACTTGATATGTTGAACTCAACCCTGAGTTGCAGCTCTGCTTTTTTATAGCCATTGAAAACCAGTTCTGTACATGAAATATGTTTATATTTAGAGACATACCTTGTTTTCTTTTACGAATCTCTACTATGATTTGTTTTTAGGATGCATATGCTGCATATATATTATATATGTAAACCAATTCTGTGGAAAAGTTCACATAGCTGAGATTAACCAAATGATGATTTAGTCATGACCATTGCTACAGCTATTCATTGGTTTGATCTTCCAACTTTCTACCAACAACAAGTCAAGCGGGTACTGAAAAAGTCCAATGGAGTAATTGCAGCATGGTCCTATACTCTGCCACAGATTAAAAAAAAAAAATCTTCACAACCATTTAACAATTTTTTTGTTTTGCTTTTATGCTGATTCATTTGGGAAGCCAGGGTTTATCAGACTATTACACAGCTAAGAGAGCGGGATCCACATCAAAAGATGAGCACGGATATTGAGTAGGACTGTTCCCATCCGTTATCCAGATCATAGTGAGGGAGAATCAAGTAGATCTCATCTCCTAGTACAAGATTTTGATTGAGATTGGAATATTCATCTGCAACTCCGAAGTCATCATCTGCCCTTTGATTAGTAGGTGCAGTATTTGCCTCTTGATCCCTCATTGCCTTGCATTGAGACATCCCTTCTTCATGCCTGATTTGCATCTGATCCTTCATTCAAACATGGCCTGCTCCACTTGTTATCTGCTCATATCCATGTATTTGTGCTCCATTGACCACAAAAATATCCCCTAATTCTGCAGCACTTGTCATGACATTCTGCAATCGGTCAATTTGTGCTCTGACGACCACAGAACTATCCCTTAATTCTCCAGCACTTGTTATAAGCTGCAATCCATCAATTTGTTCTCCATCCCCAAGAGGATTATGATCCAAAGATCATTTCTTTTTTTTCCGTTTTGGTACTCTTTTACTAGACTTGCACTTAAGCGTGTGATTTCCTATTTCATGCGTGTTTGTTTAGAACTTGGGATAATTTATGTGTTGGTTGCCTGACCATTTCAGTTAAGTTGGTAAGGATGTTGAGTTTAGGGGGGGCAAAAACAAAAAGGAACCAAAGTGCCCCACCTTAGTTGTACTAGGAAAGATAGGATTTATGTGGATTAAAACTACTTATTCTGTGTTTTCGGAAAATAAAATCATGGGTGGTTAAATGTGGGAAATAAAAGTGGAAGAGAAACCAGATTCAACAGCACCTTGAATCGAAGTTGGCAAGTCATGATACAGAACAAACAGAGGAGGATTTCAGGCGCTGTTATTCAGCTTTTCCTTATCAAAGAGGAAGGATTATATCATAGCATCATCAAGTAAGGAAATAAGTCAATCTACTTGCATTGTTTCCTCATATACGGAGGAAAATAACGGTCGAGAGGAAACATATCCTCTGACATCAAAATTGAACTATGCTAGACTGCTAGTAAGACAAGAAATTATCCAAGCAGAGAATTGAAGCAATATTTCTTGATTAGCACATCAAAGCAACTGCTTCTCACAAATGGAACACGATATATTTTGAACAAAACGACATCTCATCCAGCCCAGATAGGTGAACTAAAGGTACTGATTGTTGATTGATCTGTTAATACTTAATATGCTGTCAATGACATCCCAGTTAATCTTTTCTTTTCTTGGCCCTGCATCTTTCCATCAAGCTTTTATGATAATCTGCAACATATTATAATTTCTTTTCCTCCGTTGAGAGAGCCAATCTAAAGAGAAAATACACAGAGAAATAAACATAAACAGTAATTAGATAAACTTTTTGTTTTCCTTCTTTCTCTACAGTAGAGATAGTAGCTCTGTTAGAAACTATACAATGATGTATTGTGCCACCACTTAGCTGCCACACCAGTTTTCAGTTTTCACATCCCCTTTTGCTTCTTCCACTAGACAAAAATTGTTAAAAAGGAGCTATATATATAATTCGTGCCTGTCAAATTTCAATTTGCAGGCAATATTATGTTGCCAGTTGCATGTCTCTATTAATTTCTGATCTCAGCTTCACAGGCTTTCCTCCTGGTTAACTTCATCCCTGTAATCAGTTTTCGTTCCCTGAAAAATAAAGAACAGAGAACGCAGGTTTAGAAGACACGGGCCTTTCTATAAAGTTACAAGGACCAAACAAGTTTAACAACTGATCACTTGCCTCGCCCTTTTCTTTTGCCTTATTTCTCAGCGATCGGATTGGCGAAATGCCCTGTTCCCAAGAAAATTCAGACAGTTTACATTAGCATCATTGCTGGAAATATCAAATCTAACAAGTAACTCAGATAAAACGCAATGAAGGGAATCTTGAAAGATGTTCTGTTTTTTCCCTTAAATCCTTCTTACCATGCAAGATAACTTGAGCTGCTTCAATCGATACAGCCTATCAACCTCGATTTCGAGCATCTTCTGAGCTTCGCCTCTCTTGTGCAACTCATTCATCTGCAAATCAAGAACCAAATCCCTCTCACTGAGCATCTTCTCCGTCTTCTCCTTCTCTATCCTCAACCTCTCGAGCTTCTCGCGAATGGCACTCAGCTCCTCAGCCAGGGACGAATCGAATTGTTCGATCCTGAACTCTTCATTCTTCACCGGGGTGGCAAAAAGGGGATTCACATTCTCCTTGTTCGAGTCATTATCCAACACTGACACCTCAATCCGATCAGTTGCAGCATTTTGCTTCGGTTTTTGGTGGGGTGTGATGACAACAGGAGTGGCCGGAGAATTCTTTGGCTGCAGTGGCTTCCGGCCACTTTTCGGCCGTTGGATCTGGTGGTCGGATAATGGAGATTGGGCAGCCTTCAACATTTCTTCTGTTCTTTCTTGTCTTTATCAGATTTTTTTATCTGGAGGAAAGGAAGGGGCTGGGCGTTGGGACTGAATAGTAGAGTACAGTAGTATTTGATTAATGGGAAGAAAATACTAAATAGAGTCCTTGACCGAGTTCGAATTTGAACTGCATGAGGCGGACTAACCAACGGCTACTTTGGACATTGGGGTTGGAGCATCAGAATTCAGAATATCAGTTTTTTTTTTTTTTTTTGGTTCAATTTCTCAAGGGACTTTGGATTTTGGAGGGTATTTTGTCTGAATAAGAAGAGATTAAACTATATTTAATTTTCTCGAGTCCCGAAAGATGCCCCAATTTCCAAAGTTTACTTTGTAAAATGTATACTGTGGACGGCCGTTCCAATGTCATGGTTACTTTTTGCCATAGCAATCACACCGGCCTATTAGCTCAGTTGGTTAGAGCGTCGTGTTAATAACGCGAAGGTCGCAGGTTCGAGACCTGCATGGGCCATTGTTTGTTTTCTGAATGAATGCTTCGGTACAGTTTTTGTGCTTTTATCCGCCAACTAACTAAACTTCAAATGATACAACTAGTATTTAACTTCGAAAGATAATTAAAAAATAAATTCAAATAAGACATAAGACTTGGAAAATATCTGTTTGTTACAAATCCACACAACTAAAAATTAAACAAGTAACAAATCAAAATAATATATTCATCTAATATATAAAACTATTTCGGTATAAAGAAATTAATCTTCTTTTTAAGTTCAATATTTGATTGGAATTGATACAGATAAATCCTATGTTATAAATTATGTTTTTGTCAATCGGACATTCTTTTTAATCCTTTCTTTTGTATTCCTTAATGACCAATATAAAAATAACAATTAGATTTCTTAATAATGAAAACCAGCTAATTTCTGTCTTGTTTTTTGCCACTTTGATTATCGCAATCCCCTTCCCCAAATTATTTTATTCCTGATGGCTGTGGGCAATCAATACATTTTGTTTTGAAATATTAGATATTTTGATATTTGAGAGAAAAGGAGTATATTTCGTCTCAAAATTTAATAATATTACGCAAATATAATACCATTTTAATCAGTTTGTGTCTCCATGCAACCAATGTCCGCTTAAGTTGCTATAAATATTGAAGGTAAATGTCAAATCTTTTCTCTTTTGGGACCTTTCTTTCATTCAGTCCAAAGGAAAACAAGAAAGAATAAACTCTAACATGCTTTTGAGGTTTTATTTTTGGATTAATCTTTTCTACAGTATATACATTAACGAATTATAATGAATGGCATATCATTTCAATTTGACTTTAAATTATAAATTTTACACACTTTGACATTCACCCAAACTCGTTAGCATTTACAAATATACAATATCAGTATGGTAAAGATTTACACATTACTTTTATCCTAAAACATTAAGTTAATAGCTTGACCAAGTCCATCGGTCTTATGTATGTAGTATAGATTAGGGTTAATTACATTTACCTCTCCTGAGGTTTGACCATATTACCAATCAATCCCTGTAATTTGTCCAAATAATGGTCTCACCCTTTGAATGATCAAACATTTAACAAAAACCCCCTTAATGCCGAAAATACCCTTATTGAGGCCATGTTGCATTAAAAAAAGAACATATTTTTATTTTGAACCACAAGATTGGTTGTTGGAGGTTGCATCAATGCCCAAGAATTTGCTTTAATGTGCCCATTTTGCTGGTAGATGAAATTCGGGAAGCATACGGTTAGAATCCACAAAAACACGTAATGTGATGCTTATCCCGCATATTAAATATTGGGTGTGGACAACAATCTATTTATTCTTTTTACGCACGTTTGTCAATATCTTTTCTATTATTTTTTTATATTACGCACGTTTGTCAATATTATGTATGTATATCATCAAAAAGTACTATTCTAAATAATCATAAAATTACAAATAATCCTCAAGCGAAACAGCCCCATTTTACAAGATCCCATGAGATGGAGTCTTTTTTTTTTCCCCTTTCAAATACAATGAAGGGTTCTAAGGCATCTCCATTTTTTTTCTTGTTAGTGAGAGGATTGACTCCCTTTTAGGGCTGTCAACGGGCCGGGTCCGGGCCGGAATTCATTATTCCGGACCCGGACCCGAATTACTATGCCGGACCCGGATCCGACCCGTTTACCCGACGGATCTTTTATTCTATGTTCCGGATCCGGATCCGGCCGGTCCGGCGGGTCCCGGATCCGGATCCGGGTCTACCCGAACAAATTTAGCAAAATTTATAATTTCTAATAAAAATGAAAAAAAATATATTTGTAAACTAATTTTTAACTAATGCAAAGAAAAAATCAAATAAGAAAAGAAATCAAATTAACTTTATTAAAATACATCACTCTAATCAAATTATATTGATAAATATATATATTTAAAATTATTAATTCATTTATATCCGGATCCGGGTCTATTACGGGCCGGAATACTATATTCCGTATCCGACCCGTTTTTTTGTTTGACAAAACGGATCCGGATCCGGATCCGGAAAACGGAATTAAATCCCTACCCATACCCGGAAAAATTTCACGGATCCGGTCCGGATCCGGGTCTAGACCCGACCCGTTGACAGGCCTACTCCCTTTCACCTTACCATCTAATTCAATTCCTCCCCCCTCCCCCCTTTTCCAACACCCATTCTAAGGTCTCTAAACTATGGGAGATAAAAAAATCTTTAATTTTTTAAATTTCACCGTCCCCTTACTGAAAGACCAAAAAAAAAAAAACGGAGGCAAGATAAGAGCACCTTACAAAACTCAAAAGGAGACTTAGTATCCAATACGAAATCGAAATAAGTCCAACCCAATGAGTGTGGCCTTTATAATTGTTAGTGACAATTTCCCACCCCCCTCCCCCCTAACACACACACACACACACAGACAACCCATTCTAATGTGTCTAAGCTATGGGAAATAAAATAAAAATTTAACTTCTTAAATTTCATCGTCTTCTTACTAAAAGATTTAAAAAAAAGTCAAACAAGAGCACCATACAAAGCTCAAAAAGAGATTGGTGTTCAATATGATATCGATTGCGGCCTTTATAATTGTTAATAGCAATTTCAGCAGCTCTATATTCCCAATAGCCCAACTCTTACAAACGTGCAAGCCCAGAGTGCCCCAAAGGTATAAATACCTCGCCTATGTCTCCCCTTCAATGCCCAGGACATATATAGCGTGAAATTAACACTACAATGATTTCGCAATGGTTGGATTCTGTCACCTCCTTTTTCAACCCTGGACAGCACCTTCCCAAGTGCAATCGGGACATTATCCTTGTAAAGATCCAAGTTTTTTGCACCCCCTTTTTTCCCTGTTAAAATTTTGGCATTAATTTCCGACTTCTCTTGGTTGTATCCATATTTTTCTAAACTTTTTAAGCCTTGCATGATTGAGTATCTTAGAAACTTGACGTGGGTTTCTAGAATTTCTTCAATTCTCTAGAGTTTTGTGATTCTATAATTCTTTCATAAGTCTATTTGGTTGTTGTGGAAAAAAAAATGGTAGAAATCCTTTTTTGTAGATTATGTTCGTAATCTAGCCTTTGGATTTCTAGGTACGTCTGGAAACATGGAAAAAAGAGGTTTTTCTTTTTTTAAAGTAGCAATCGAAGCAATCATCCATAATCTGAATTGATGGTTTGCAGTCTATCTTTTTTTTATTTATTTATTTCTTGGATAAATGTTCATGTAAGATTAAAAGGTGCTTGGAAACGTGTTATGTAATTTTTCAGAAAATAATAGCCATTCAAACGTAAATGAGAAAAATATATGTGCATGTAGCAATGTACGCCTATAATCTACCAAAAAAAAAAGAAGCAATGTAGGCCTATTCGTGTTGCTTTTAGAAGTTGTACTAGGATAAGTTTTGGAAGTTGATAGTTTCCAGAGCAATGTCATTGCATAAAATACAACCCTTTGCCACAAAAGTTGATCTATTAGGGAGTTGTGGAAGCAGGATTCTTTCAAGAGGTGTTGTGAAGGTCTTTACGGGTTATTGATGGCTATGCTAGACAGTGGGGAAAATGTCATATAAAATTGTGTGGAAAAATGCAAATTATGTTAGTTTTGCAGATTGCTATTTGAGAAATTCACAATAATTTGGATTTTAAAGGATTACCAGATTTCTTATGTTCTATTTTTGGTTGATTCTTTTTCAGAATGGAGTAAAAAAAATGACAGTATGCACCGGTCAAAGATATGCACATCATATTGTCCAAAAACCCACCTTTTGGATAACTTGGAAGACTTTGGTGTTTTTGATTTAGGAGGGGAGAGTGCACTGTGGAATGTCTCTGAAGCTCATATTAAGTGCCTTCATGTAGGGATTGCTTTCTGAGTAGTGTATTAGTAACATATGCTGCTATATGTGCATAAGTTACATTTAGTATCTTATCCATTGGTGTTAGCCTTAAGTTTCTTCTATTCATCCGCAGGGCTGTGAGAAAGAAGTGGCAGAGGTAGAAAATAGTGGTACTGATGAACAAAAGAGTGAAAGCATTATGCGATTGTCATGGGCTCTTGTTCATTCTACACAGTTGGAAGATGTGCAGCGAGGGATTGCTATGCTCGAAGGTGATTTCTCAATACACCAAACATCTACTTTTATGTCAAAAAGGAGATTTTACATTCTCAATTCTCACCTGTCAATGTCCAAGTACTCTGAAATCTCTTTTTATATTTGTTCAACATCAAAATCTGGTTTTTTGCATAATTTGTGTCCCTTTATTTCCCTAATCACTATAGCTTACTGGATATTTTCAACATCTTGCAAATAATTGTCATTTCATTGTGTTGCTTTGTTACTTATATGCATGTTCAGTCACATTCAACTTATAAAAGGAAGCAGAGAAAACCACTTTATGCCTTATATTTTGATCCATGTTTAGTTCTCATACCTCCTCTTCTTCTCATTATTATTGGGCTTGTTTGGAAGTGAGTTTTTTGGCCAAGTTTTTTAGCTACAAGTTTTTTAACAACTTTAGCTACAGGAACCCAAAAAAACTTATCAAATTTTTTAACCTACACACTTCAAAATATCTAATACACAAAAAACTTCTATCTTTCTTCTTCTTTCTCCCCCACCCCATCCACCATACCTTCATCGCCGGCCACCACCTCTACCGCCGTTTCCGGCGCCGGCCACTTATTCCGACACCGGCGTACCCAAATTTTTTTTTTTCCTTCCTTTCTCCCTCCCTCCCCTCTCTGGCCAAACTCCCCCAACCTATGCAGCAACAGCGGTTACTTTCTTTTCTGCTCTGGTTTTTCTTTGTCCCTCCAGTAACAGCAATGCTACGGTTGACGGGGGAACAGAGGGGGTGGGGGTGGCGGGAAACGGGAAACGGGAAGGGGAACAGGGAAAGGGGAAACGAGAGGGGGGACGGCTGGTGGGAGGAGGGGGTGGCGTGCCGGGGGAGGGGCTGGGGGGCAGCGGGGGCCGGGCTTGCAGAGGGGAGGGGGAAGGGGCAGAGGGGCTGGCGGGGAAGGGGCTGGCAGGGGGGAGGCAGCGGGGGAGGGGCTGGCCGGGGGAAGGGGGAGGCGGGGGCCAGCGGGGGCCGGGCTTGCAGAGGGGAGGGGGAAGAGACAGAGGGGCTGGCGGGAGAAGGGGGCTGGCAGGGGGAGGAGGCAGCGGGGGACGGGGCTGGCGGGGGAGGGGGGAGGCGGGGGGCAGCGGGGGCCGAGCTTGCAGAGGGGAGGGGGAAGGGGCAGAGGGCTGGCAGGGGAAGGGGGGCGGGGGAAGGGCTGGCGGGGGGGAGGGGGAGGCGGGGGCAGCGGGGGCTGGGCTTGCAGAGGGGAGAGGGAAGGGGCAGAGGGGCTGGCGGGGGAAGGGGGGTGGCGGGGGAAATGCAGAGCAGAGGAGAAGGGGGCTAGGAGAAGAGGGGTGGCGGGAGGGGGAAGGAAGAAGAAGAAGAAGAAGAAAGAGAGGAAAGAAAAGAAAAAGGAAAAAAAGAAAAAGAAAGAGAAAGAAAAAAAGAAAGAAAGAAAAAAAAGAAAAGGAAAAAAAATTCACCTTACAAAAATTTTTACAAAATTTTTTATCTTACAAAAACTTTTACAAAAAATTTTTCACCTTACAAAAACTTCTACAAAATTTTTCAAAAACTTCTACAGTACACTACAGTAAAGTTTTAGACAAACTCCCAAAAAACTCAGGTTCCAAACAGGCCCATTGTTTTAAACTCTTTGGCCAAAAAAAATTTCCTAATCATTGACCATCTGTGCCCTCCGTGCAGGAGTAACTACATGCATTATTTGTTTATGGTTGTTCAATGACACTTGTCCTACTGGAATGTAGATGTTTGTTATCTAGAGAAGTAATCATGTCATTAAGAGATTTTTTTCCTTTTTTTTAAATAATACTGCATGTCATAAGCATATGCCATGTCGTATTAAGGAATTATGGGCCTGTTTGGAACCTGAGTTTTTTGGGAGTTTGTCTAAAACTTTACTGTAGTGTACTGTAGAAGTTTTTGAAAAATTTTGTAGAAGTTTTTGTAAGGTGAAAAATTTTTTGTAAAAGTTTTTGTAAGATAAAAAATTTTGTAAAAATTTTTGTGAGGTGAATTTTTTTTCCTTTTCTTTTTTTTCTTTCTTTCTTTTTTTCTTTCTCTTTCTTTTTCTTTTTTTCCTTTTTCTTTTCTTTCCTCTCTTTCTTCTTCTTCTTCTTCTTCCTTCCCCCTCCCGCCACCCCTCTTCTCCTAGCCCCCTTCTCCTCTGCTCTGCATTTCCCCCGCCACCCCCCTTCCCCCGCCAGCCCCTCTGCCCCTTCCCTCTCCCCTCTGCAAGCCCAGCCCCCGCTGCCCCCGCCTCCCCCTCCCCCCGCCAGCCCTTCCCCCCGCCACCCCCTTCCCTGCCAGCCCCTCTGCCCCTTCCCCTCCCCTCTGCAAGCTCGGCCCCCGCTGCCCCCCGCCTCCCCCTCCCCCGGCCAGCCGTCCCCCGCTGCCTCCTCCCCCTGCCAGCCCCCTTCTCCCGCCAGCCTCTGTCTCCCCCTCCCCTCTGCAAGCCCGGCCCCCGCCGCCGCCCTCCCTTCCCCCGGCCAGCCCCTCCCCCGCTGCCTCCTCCCCCTGCCAGCCCCTTCCCCCTCCCCTCTGCAAGCCCGGCCCCCGCTGCCCCCCAGCCCCTCCCCCGGCACGCCACCCCCTCCTCCCACCAGCCGTCCCCCCTCTCGTTTCCCCTTTCCCTGTTCCCCTTCCCGTTTCCCGTTTCCCGCCACCCCCACCCCCTCTGTTCCCCCGTCAACCGTAGCATTGCTGTTACTGGAGGGACAAAGAAAAACCAGAGCAGAAAAGAAAGTAACCGCTGTTGCTGCATAGGTTGGGGGAGTTTGGCCAGAGAGGGGAGGGAGGGAGAAAGGAAGGAAAAAAAAAAATTTGGGTACGCCGGTGTCGGAATAAGTGGCCGGCGCCGGAAACGGCGGTAGAGGTGGTGGCCGGCGATGAAGGTATGGTGGATGGGGTGGGGGAGAAAGAAGAAGAAAGATAGAAGTTTTTTGTGTATTAGATATTTTGAAGTGTGTAGGTTAAAAAATTTGATAAGTTTTTTTGGGTTCCTGTAGCTAAAGTTGTTAAAAAACTTGTAGCTAAAAAACTTGGCCAAAAAACTCACTTCCAAACAAGCCCTATGTCATTGCATGTGTTAGAGTTCGCTGAGTTTCACAAGTAGAAGAATTAAAATTTTACTTTATTGTAGTACTTGTTTTGCTATACTATGAAAAATACTGTTTTGAGAGTGTATGACCTTTTTAGAAAGCTGGAAGGAGAGAACTGCAATTGGAGTTTTGGCATTTAAATTCGATTTAAACATGAGTTGCAAACTACTCTCACTACTAAAGACTGACTATTGTTTGTGTGCAGCCTCTCTCTCTGGAACCAATAGTCCATCTCAGAAGAGTGAAAAGCTTTACCTTCTATCTGTTGGTTGTTATAGAAGTGGTGAGTATTCAAGGAGCCTGCAGCTTGTAGAGAAATGTTTGGAGGTTAGTTTTCTGCTCCCATTAGTGAAATTGCTCATAGTTTAACGTGACTATTACTTGTCAAAAGAAAGAAATTGTTGAACATTTTGGTTGCGTTCAAGAGTGGTGCTTTTATCCCCTTGGTTTTGTCTTTGTTTGCTAGATTAAACCTGATTGGAGGCAGGCTTTGTACCTTGAGAAGACAGTCATAGAACAAATTACAAAAGGTGATAGCCATATTGCTTTGAATCCTCAGGATTTTTTGTTCGAGTATAGCAATACATGGAATAAAAGTTTAACTTTATGGTGCAGATGGTGTCATTGGAGTTGGCATTTCAGTTACTACTGTGGGACTTATAGCTGGTGGAATTATAACTGCATTAGCTAGCAGAAAATCGTGATGACGGATTGTTGTCTTAAGAGTAATTTCCCTGATTTGCGGTTTACAATCTTCCCGGATATGCGATTTACAATCTTCGAAGATGATGCATTTTAACCCTGCTAACTATGAATTGATGGCCTGTCGATTACTTTTAGTCGAAGTCAAGACATTGTATGTATATATATATATTTCAATGGATTTCATTTGGTACCTCCGGACCAAAACATACTTTCTCAAACTATCCAGTTAGGCTTAGTCTTCTGGTCATCAATCCGTTGATTACATCAAGTAGTGTGCAGTTTTGACTATCAGCCATTCAATAAGTTAGGTGTAAACTTCTTCTTCTTTTCGTTTTTTACCTCTTATGTATCTTAATTCACCATTAGCTTTGTCTACTTATCTGATATAAAACTTATTATAATGAACAGGATAGCCAATTATGGAACTGTAGGCAAGTATAAGACCAACTTTTCTGAATTGACAAGCGCGGAGTTTGGTAAATTTGAGATTTTCTTGACAGGATAGCATTATTTGGACCATGTATTCTAAGCCTCTTTTCAGATTCGATGGATATTTATTAACTTCAACTAATTTTCCCAGCAAGTAGATAAATGTTTATCAAGAGAACATAGGTGGCTTACCTGGCTATTAAATGACTTTTTTTGAGAAATAATCACTCTAAAAGCTATGTACTTATTAGCTGGTGGCTTGATATCTGATACAGAACTCAAATCTGTAGGGAATGGAAACTTTCATCCATACGAAGCTGCAAAACCTTCACTTGCTCCCGTTCCCAACTTTTCCAATCCTTAGGTTAATACGAAAAGTAGCAATCTTTTTGGGATTGCCATCTTCATGCCAAGCACGAGTGAAGCCTTGAACAAAATCATCATGCAAGAGTTCAACTCCGGTATCTTTTGCAGCTTGGTAATGTGCCCATGACTTTATGAATGCGAAACAGTCATCTAAATCCATCAACCATTCCATTTTGAATTCGAATGGTCCAGTGTGGTCGAGTCCATCGACTGGCTGAAAGGGGAAGTCAATGGTTCTGTACTTGTCGTGTAGGAAAAATCTGGCTCGTGGATCTATGTAAGGATCACTATCATCATACAGTTTCTGGAGAAGAGCATTAGCGGCGCTAGCGTTGATCTCTGCCTTAGTATAGGACCATGCTGCAATTACACCGTCAGGCTCTTTTAGTATCCACTTCACTTGCTGGTAGAAGTTTGGAAGATCAAACCAATGCATAGCTGCAGCACTTGTCACTAAATCAACACTTGATTCTGCTGACACCGTTTGCTCAAGCTCGGAAATAGACATCTCAGGAGGGGTGCATTGATATGTAATGTTGGGAAGCTTGAGTGCAAATTCCAGTTGCTTTGGGCTCGTGTCTGTGGCTACCACGTTCTTGTATATCCCAGCCAACTGACAAAAGTCAGTAGTGATAAATCAGCAAAGCACAATTCGAGAAAATCTGTCCTGAAAAAGAAGAAATGCAGAGTTGAATTTTGGTTTAGAGATGCTTACAGTTCTCGCAGCCTGGCCACTGCCCGTGCCTACATCCCAAGCAAGGTCATGGCACGGTGTCTTGGATGCTATGAACTGGAACAGTTTCTCTGGGTAAGTTGGCCTGCTTTCTGAATACTGCTTGGCCTGCTTATCATACGATTCTGCCATCTCTGATCTGCCTATGAGACTGAATGGGTGGGTATGTATGTTCACCAGTTCCGAGAGGAGGTACTTGGTCTACTTAATTTGTTCTCCCAAATATGTTAGAGAACTTTAAGCTTGCAAGCAACCTTTTAATAATAATACAGTATCTTCGGGTGACCTACAGTTCACATTAATGCTTGAATAAAAGAACTTTAAGATTGCCAGCAATGGTTTCTGCAGTGTACTAGAAGTAAATTGGCATGGGTCCATCGAAAGAAGTTCAATGGATCCTTGCATTTTGTGGTCCATCATTGTCCCGAATAAATGTAAAGCAGTCAAAAAGTAGTACAAGCAGGCAGCGAAGTTTTCTTCTGCAACCTTGTTAGAATTTGGCATCTAACAAGATTCTGTCTTAACCTGCATCATAGCTGACGACATTTTCAATTACGAAATTTCTTGCCTACTCTTTCATCCAATTGATGTGGCTGATTACTTATCTCTCTTCTATCTCTTACAAGTTGACTTCTTTTCTTTTTAATCAAGAGTCCTGTTATTGTAATAGTGATCTGTCATGGTAATGCTAATGACTATGTATTTACATATTGGTATAGATTATCTCACTTGCATCAATCTAAACTTTTTTTTTTGGTATCAATCTAACCATAAATAAAGTAATGATCTCATCAGATATTAATAGCTGAAAGAGCATAGAAGGGTCAGTAAAGAAAAGTTTGCACAGCCTACATATAATACTATGAGCATTCAGGAAAAGAAGATTCTATAGTCCATATTAATACTAATTGCCAACTCTCCCAATCTTCAGATAGGTTGGAAAAGAAACAACTTTCTCTGGTTTGCCATCTTCAGTCCATGGAGCAGTGAAATCCTTGACCAAATCATCAGTCAAGAGTTCCACTTCCTTTTCTTTTGCAGTTTGGTAAGCTGGCAATGGCCCTATATATGTGAAGTAGCCATCCAAATCCATCGGATCCGGGGCTGGAATGGTTGTCAGATTAACCGTTCCGAAAGGTGTAACACCATTTGCATACAGTGTAACATCATCTGTACAAAATGTAACAATAGAACAACAGCGAGTAACACTACAACAATATTTTTGTGGGTCCCACACAGCGTGAAAATCGAGTTACAAGGAGTGATCTGAGCCGTACAAATTTTTTGGCCTAATCATGGTCGTGAACCTTCCGGAACGGTTGTCTCTGACAGCCGTCCCAGCCCCTCCTCCAAATCCATCCGAGTCTCTGACTTAAATTTGAATGGTCCAGTGTGATCAAGTCCATCCACAGGCTGAAATGGGAAATCAATGGTCTCATATCTATTGTCTACCAGCTTAATTGGTGCTTCCCAATAAGGTTGAGCATCACCATAGTATCCTTTCTGCATGAGAGGATCGATTTTTTGGTTAACTTCTGCCACAGTAAAGCACTACGCAGCAATTACTCCATTGGGTTTTTTCAGTATCCATTTTACTTGCTTGTAGAACTCTGGGAGATCAAACCAATGCATTGCTTGAGCAATGGTCACTAAATCAACACTGGATCCCGATCCAATTTTTCTTCAAGTTCTGCTGTGGATATTTTGGAAGAAGTACATTCATATCGAACATTTGGTACCTTGGCTGCGAATTCTAGCTGCTCTGGACTAGTGTCTGTCCCTATGACTTTCTTGAATGTCCTTGCCAACTGAAAAGATAAAATGACAAAAGAAAAACAACAATTATATTGATTAGAGCGATAAGCCGATGACACGATAATTAATTCTTCAATATTTTCTTCATTTTGTACATGTTATGAATGTAAAAACATGTTTTTTTTTTTGTGTTACTCGCGTGGATTCAAGAATTACACTTGATATGCATGAGTCCTACAGCAAGTGCAAACGATTCGTTCGAAATACTTTTCCGAAAAACAGCTGGAGACATTTTTGAGACATGAGTCCCTATGTCTTGTCACCACTCCATTACCTTTCTGTCATTCAACAAGTTATAATGCATAGAAACTGAATAAGGATATTGCTGGAACTTAGATTAAAACCATTTGAAATTTTGGCATTATTGAAAATAAGTGTGAGACTTGAAATGTGACAAATATTTCGGGACAGAGGGAGTACATGATATGGTGCATAGTATCGTTACTTTGTTATCGGCATTTTTGGGCTTCTCCAATCAGGAATGGACGGTGGCCTGAGTAGTTTGAGCTCTATGCTTCCTGTCCAGTGATCGGGGATTTGATTCCTATCTTTTGTTCTTTCAACAACTTGAGAAACCTCAAGTATTTGAGTTAAACAAACCGAATCCCAGATCAATCGTAAAAAACCGGCAATTTGCAAGTATTGTCGCAATTTGACAGGACAGCCTGCAACAGACAGGTGCAGTTCCCAATTTAATGTCTTATCCAAAACTTGCATTGTTTTGATAATATAACAGGATTTCCTCTTCTCCCAAGACCCCTACTTGGAAGAGAATATGATTAAAAAAAAAAAAAGGAAATCACAACTCACGATTTAATGTCTACTCCAAAACTTGTATTGTTTTGAATTTCTTTTACGGGTACATTTGGTTCTCCATAGAATTGGAGTATAGAATTGGAATTGAAACCTCAATTTCAATTCTTGTGTTTGGGTATTATTTTTCCTATAGAATTAGAATTGAATTGCAATTCTAAATCCATCGAATTCCGTAGTTTCAATTCTTTGGCTGGACCAAAGAATTCCAATTCCAATTCCACGCTTGAACTCTTAAATCGGGTCAATACGCGGGTCTTTTACGGGTAAAATCTCAAAAATGGGTCAACTATAAAATTGATGGAAAAAACTCAAACGTCTCTCTTCTCTTCCCATTATCGATCGCCATATCTAATGCTCTGTTGGAGCATTCCTGCCGCCGCCTCCTCCACTTGTGCTAGCCACTGCATAACACAGGTTGAAATTATGGGGTTTTAATTAGTTTCTGTCAGTCTTCCCCTTCCCTTCCAGTGAATGAATTGAGAATTGATTCGATGAGTAAAGAATGAAATTTCATTACCAATTTGGCAAAATTCATTGATCATTACTTTTGTATTCCATTGTTGCTCTGATTGTCCACTGTCACTTGATTGATTATTTTCCCTTGAACTTTGATGAAAATTGGAGAGCTCATACTGTAAAAGTTGAAAGGATTAATCATGATATGAAAAGGGAACCTTTTTGTTAGTGTTTTCTTGTTGAATTTTTGGTGTTGTTTTGTCTTTAGACAAGTAAATTGTTGAATGAAATTCTGGTTGATCTGTATTTGAATGGAATTTTGTGATCCCTTTTGTTTCTTATGGTGGATGGTGTGTAATATGAAGAACATACCTAGATATTGATGAATAAAAGGTTGATCCTGGCAAAATTTTAAGTGAACAGCCTCTGCAACGACTAATTTTCTTATCAGAGAATTCATCGTCTTTGAGTTTGCTCAATATCAAGGGATGCTCATGACTGAAATGTTGGATCTCCTCCATTAATTCTCTCTTGTGTGTGTGTTGTGTGAGATTGAGGAGAGAAAATGAGGGAGTGTTGAATTTAGTTCTCTGAGCCTTAGAGCTTAATTATCAACTTTCCTGGCCAATGGCTGCTGAAATGTATATTAAGAAAAAAAGATGAAAAATGCTTTACTTAAAGATCAACATAGCTTAAACCTTTTAGACTGCATATTCTTTGCTCTTAGTAGTAGCTAACAAATTGGAACTCACTTTCTTACCGAGAAAGTAGTCTTCATATTCACAAAAGTTTTAACACATCCTAATAAAGCATAAACAGTTTGCGTGAAAAACAATGAAGGTTCGTTTCAGTAACACTATCTTCGTGCAGTCATAAGAAAATGAAAAATCAATTTTGCTTTTATCATATATGATAGAATTAATCTCTTTAAAACTTGTATTATATTAACAAAATCTATTTCACCAATACGCATAAATTTGTTGGCTGTTGGCTGTTATGATCAAGTATATAACGTCTCCAGTTCACACTCCAAGGCTGTTGGCTGTTATGACCAAGTGTCAGATTAAAAAATCTTCTTAAAACCAGTTCTACTCTTCTTAACTTAGTATCTAGAATCATAGAAGGAATCACAAATTTACTTTGACAGAGCGAATTTTTAGTTCTATACTGCAGTGGCTGTTGAAAAACTTGCTGTCAGGGCCTGAAAATATTTTATGTATCAGCTCAAGGCTGCTAAATTCTCGTCAATGGACATGGAATGTGATGAATGTTTGTTTTGGACTATTTAATGCTGTCATAAATTCTCTCACACACTCTCTCTTAGCGTATATTTAAATGTGTTTGATTGTTCCTAATATGTTACAGGAAGGCTTGTTTAACCTTGCCCTGCATTTAAGTGAAGTCGGTGCATTCTTCTTGATATCAAAGTTGTGGGCTGATATGAAGTTGGGCATGCTTAAAGGCTGAAGATCGTCACTTCAGTCTTCCTTGTATCTGTGGTTTTATAAAGGTATTTATTTTCAAGCACTTAGAATGCTGTGAATAGGTTTTTGATGTGAAAATTATAGCTCTATCTCTGGCTTTCATGTTTCAACTATTGAGCCTGGTAATAACGGTTCAATTTTGACACTAATTAGAACAGTTGTCCTACAGTTGTCCTACAGTTCCTACTACCCTGATGGTAGTAGATGCGGTATTCTTGTTGCAGAAATCTAGTTCCATTTCATAAATCAACTGCGACAATAAAAGGTAAAAGTAAACAAGAGGAGGCAGCCATGAGTTTTACCAGGATAAAAGCCTTGATGTTCTCTCTTGTCAATCTTATGTCTGAGCTTTCATCTTCAGATATATCGAGCAATATATCAAGTAGATCCTTCATTTGTTGACTTGCATCATTGTTATGCCGACGCTTCGTCCTTGTCTCTTGATGTTCCTCTATGATCTTCTCAATCATTACATCAAACCTCTCAGCAATATACCTATGTTGTATCTGCTGCTTCATTGAAGTACTTTCTCTTGACCTCTGATCTGCAGAGTTATGCCTGAACATATACAATTCGTGGCTATCAACTCTCCTTACGGCTCAATGCGCAGCTACCTAAGTGAAGAATTGATATGAACAAACAAAGGGGTATTTGGAGATATGTGTTTTGGCTGGAATTTTTTTTGTTTTTAAGTTTCTATTTATTTACTGAAGAACATAAAACAGAGACAGAAACAAGACGAGGCGGTTGGAGTAGGGGTGGAAACGGGAGAAGCAGAAATTGGTTTATACAGTTGGCCTCTTGAGTTAGGATTTATTTGTAACTGATAGTTTTTAGCTTTTTGGTTTATGCAGTTGAAGCATTTGATCAAGTGTTTTTGTTGCATATGTAGGATTTATTTGTAACTGATTGTTTTCTTACCTTTTTTTCATGAAATATTGCTTCTTGATTTTGTAGTTATTGTCACATGAGTGAAAAATTGCTTCAACTTTTCCTCTCTCATATTTTTATCATGCCATTGGTACTTAATAGAGGAGTTTGAGTTTTAGTTGTGCATAGCTATTATGATTGATGAAATCTTTTTTGAATTTTGCATAAGTATTAGAAATAAGAAAGAATTTTGCTTTATTATAATATATCAAAACACAGTTGAAAATACCACGGCTGAGATGGGGAAATATTTCTTCACAAAAAGGGATAATGGATCAAAACATGCTAAAGGAAATGCTCACCAAAGAAATTGATATGAGAGTGAGAAAAAATAAATTATTAAAGGCACAAATTGGTTTTTTCTTTTAAATCTTTAGTAAAAATTAGCTAAATGTAAGAAAAAAAAGAAATTATTATATAGAAAAAAGAAAAAAAGAAAAATTTTATGTAAGCATTTTCTTGAAAACAATTCTAATTCCTAATGAATTCTTCTCTCATACAAACAAAGAATTTGGAATTCCAAATAAATTCCGTATCAATTCTATGTATTTCCCAAACGAAAGAATTGAAATGACTTGAAATTCCTTGGAATTCCAATTCATAGAATTCCAATTCTATAGAATTTCGATTCTAATTCAATTCTAATTCTATAGAAGCAAACGCACCCTTAGCGTCAATTTACGAGGTGGGGGTTCCAAATCCCATTAATAGTGGGAAGGTTTACTTTGCTCAAGTTTTTTTGCCATAATGATATTTCTAATGTGATTCACTTTCAAATTTTATTCTCATAATGATATTATTGTTGCCATTTAAGTATTCTAATTGTCACGTAGGATAAAAAGAACTAAAAGTTTCAATTTAATCTATAGTTTTCAACGTGAACTACAAATTTAAATTTTTTTTTATTAGAGAGGCATAAGCATAAATTTGATAATTTCCTTATAATGATTCAAAACAAATTCTACCATTAGCCCCTTTGCCCGTTCATGATAGACGAACATGGATATGGCCTTGTCGTTCCTCGTCGGGTCACCATACCAGGAAGTGAGGAAGGAGGCAAAAGACAAACTAGCCTATACTAAAGAGGCATTCGAGGGAGCGACTAGTCGCTTCTGGTGAAGCTTGTAGAAGGCCGGCTGAAAAGGTCTTGAAAGAGAGATTACACCTCAACTAGAATAAACCGTAGCTAAGATTCTGGTACTGACACAACATCTGATCTGAGAGTAAGGCAGATTAATCGACCAATGACTATGGAAAGTAGGTACTAGCAGAGACAGAAGTCGAAGTGAGACAAGGAACGGAAGTTTTCATCTCAGCAGATTAAAGCGAAGATCTTTCATAAGGAGAGCGAGGAAAACAACCTGCCTTCCCGGAAAGCATGAGCATAAAGATTCTAGCGTTCGTTCAGAGACTTCCATCCGGCTGCATATTTTATTAACTTCAGCTCTAATAAGTTTCCCAGCAAATTAATATATGTAATGTTTGACAAAGAATATAGGTCGCTTAAGAGGCTATAAATTCACCTTCTTACAATAATTATTGCGAATTAAGCCTACATAATGTAATTATGAGCTAGTGGATTGATGTTTGATACAGAACTCAATCAGTAGGAAATGGGAAGTTTCATCCAAACGAACCTGCAAAGCCTTCACTTGTTCTAGTTCCCAACTTTTCCAACCTTTAGGCTGATAGGAAAAGTAGCAACTTTCTTGGGATTGGCATCTTCATGCCAAGCACGGGTGAAGTCCTGAACCACATCATCACTCAAGAGTTCAACTCCTGCATCTTTTGCAGTTTGGTATGGTGACCATGACTTTATGAATGTGAAGCAGTCATCTAAATCCATCAAGCGTTCCGTTTTGAATTCAAATGGTCCAGTGTGCTCAAGCCCATCAACTGGCTGAAATGGGAAATCAATGGTTCTATACCTGTCATGTACGAAATATCTGGCTCGTGGATCACAGTAAGGATCACAATTATCGTATAGCATTTGGAGAAGAGTGTTAGCACTGGCAGCGTTGATCTCCGCCTTAGCGTAGGACCATGCTGCAATTACTCCATCAGGCTTTTTCAGTATCCATTTCACTTGCTGGTAGAAAGTTGGAAGATCAAACCAGTGCATAGCTGCAGCACTTGTCACTAAATCAACACTTGATTCTACCGAGACATTTTGCTCAAGCTCAGCAATAGACATCTTAGGAGGCGTACATTGATATCTAATGTTGGGAAGCTTGAGTGCAAATTCCAGTTGCTTCGGGCTCGTGTCTGTGGCTACCACGTTCTTGTATATCCCAGCCAACTGACAAAAGTCAGTAGTGATTAATCAGTAAAGCACAATTCAACAAAAACTGTTCCAAAGAAAAATTTAGTGTCGGCTCTGGTTTAAAGATGCCTACAGTTCTTGCAGCCTGGCCACTGCCGGTGCCTACATCCCAAGCGAGGTCATGGCACGGTGTCTTGGATGCAATGAACTGGAACAGCTCCTCTGGGTAAGTTGGCCGGCTTTCCGAGTACTGTTTAGCCTGCTTATTAAACAATTCTGCCATCTCTGATCTGCCTATGAGACTGAATGTGACTTTATAGTTCTTTGAGGTACTTGGTCTACTTAATTTGTTTTCCCAAAGATGTTGAGAACTTTATGCCTGCAAGCAGCTCCTTTCAATAATAATATGATAAATTCGGATGATCTACCTTTCATTGATGTGAGACTTTGATTGGCCTAAACAAATAAACTTTCATTTGTCCACAACGAAAGGAGACAGCAGACAGGGAATGTAATTGAAGATACTTACAAGACAGAATGGTATAACCAATTTGAGTTGGCATGTGATGACCAACTTTAGTGATAAACGATTCCAAAGATCACTATCTTCTGCTTTTTCCAGGAAGGGAAATAGTTTTTTTTTTTTTTTTTTACTTTTTTTTCTTTTTAATATTGGATCCAGGTAAATCTAGGAATGAAAATGTTCAAGGTCTTGAGTGAATCCAGAGTAATCTAATCTATGATTTTATTAAGGCTTAGTTTGGGAGTTTATGAAGGAGGAGAAAAGAAAAGAAAAGAAAAGATAACTTAGGAAAGAAAGGAAAAGAAGGGAAAATATGCATATTTCGTTTGGGAGTTCAATGAAAGAAAAGAAAAGAAACATCTTTCTCTTATTTGAGAGTTGAAGAAATGTGGAAAGAAATGATTTTATGAGAATACAACTTTACTTATTTGCCCTTTCAATTTTTAAATCAAAGTCCAAAGATTAGCTTTCATGTTCCAATAAATAGAATATTTAGGTAAGACAAATTTCTAAAACAATTGCATATGCATTCTCACGAGGTGAATAATAAAACAAATTTCTTGCTGGACATTGATTTTCTTTCATGCATGTAAATCGCCTCAAGTCCTCGTAGTATCTTTTAGGTATTCTTGACATATGATTTTGATGTTGACCGGAAATGCCATTATACATGTTTCAGCTAGTGTTTTTGCTAAGCTGAAACTCACTCCTCACCTTATTTTTTTTCCTCTAATTCTTTCCTGAATTAATTTCCTTTTATCATATGCTTTTGTGCTTTTTTTTTCATACTTGTGAGGGGGAGGGGAGATGGGAGAGGGAAAATGCTTTGAGCAGCTTTCAAGACATGTAACTTTCTGATTACATCCATTTCTTGCCTTCTTTGCATTAGCTTGTTCTTTTTTTTTCTTTTTTTTTTTTCCAACTGGAACTATTTGCCCTTTTTTACTCAAGTGTTAAATTTCAGCATTTCAGCTCGTTATTGGTACTTGTCATTTACATTTGCGTGTTATTATCAGCATTGGTACCTTCATGTACTGATCAGTTTAAATACTATAGAACACTTTTAACAACAAAAGACATCAAAAAAACAATACTTCTAGTATCATCATCTTTTTAATCATTTCAAAGAAAGATGCATTGTTACAATAAAAAGTGGCTAACATACTATTTATGGACTCTAGAATGATCATTTTACAATTGGAAGCTTACATAGGCAAATAAACAAACAGATTGTATGCATTCAAATTTCATATTCATTTATCACCATTGACGCTTACATGTACCATAACCATGCAATATATAATCACAAATCAATAATATAAAAATCAAGAGTTCATTAACAAGAATTTTATGACTGAAAATGAATAAAAAATTTAGAATATAAACAATAACAATCTACACAAAAGATGCTTTTACCACAATTCTCTAGAGAAGATTGAGCATAGAAAGAAAGGAGATTGAGTAAAAAAAAAATACCTTTTGTTATTGAATTGTGAGTGAAGAACGGAAGAAAGCCAAGTGAATTCAACTAGTTTGAAGTATTGAAAGTATAGGATTGAGAAAGCTTTGCACATCGGTGTTTTTACAAATCAACTTTAGGATATATTGGAAATAATGAATTTTTGTATCAACTTTTAAAGGATAAAATTGTCATATTAAAAATATTTTTTGGTGCCCAACAAGTTTCCGTCCTTTTCTTGCCAATTTTGGGTAGAAAAATTTTCACCAATTAGAGTGACTTTTATCTGTTCATTTCGCTTCTCTTCCATCCTTGTTAAAACTCCCAAAATGAAATGATAAGACTTTCCCTCATATATTTTCTTTTCTGTCCTTTTCTCCCCATCCAAATGAAGCCTTAGTATATGAAGAAAAGGACAAGGTTGAGCAATTTGCATTGAAACGGAAAAAAGTTGATCAAATTGTTTCCCAGTACGCCATCCTGCAAATGTGCAAGAGTACAGAGATCTGAACCTGAGGAATAAGTCATTGGTTGGACTTTTGAGTTTTGGCCTCACTTCAATAGCCTGTGAAAAGCAACAAACAAGAAAAAATGGACTGCGACGTGCTGTTAGACAAAGACTTGTCAAGTGCGGCCTCTCTGGTAGATATAAACCAAAAGATACGTTTGGCCATTGAGACGGGGAGTGTATATAGGCCTGTCAACGGTCCGGGTTTAGATCCGGATCAGGATCATATCCGTGAAATTATTATAAGTATGGGTAGGGATTTAATTTCATTATCCGGATCCGGATCCGGATCCGTTTTATCAAACAAAAAATGCGTCGGATATAGAATATAGTATTCCAACCCTTATTAGACCCGGATTCGAATATAAATGGATTAATAATTTAAAATATATATTTATCAATATAATATGATTAGGGTGATATATTTGAGTTAAGTCAATTTGATTTCTTTTCTTATTTGGTTTTTGTCTTGTACTAGTTAGAAATTAGTTTTCAAATATATTTTTTTCTCATTTTTATTAGAAATTGTAAGTTTTGTAAATTTTTTCGGGTAAACCTGACCCAGATCTGAGACCCGTTGAATCCGGATCCGGAACATGGAGTAAAAGACCCGTCGGATAAACGGGTCGGATCCGGGTCCAGAATAATGAATTTCGGCCCGTTGACAGGCCTAAGTGCATATGATGTGACGTGCATTTAAAAATATCTAGTAGCTCCATCTGGATTAACTATTTACGTGTAAAAATATATATGAAAAACTTTTACTATACATGTTTTTTATGATGTTTTTGAATGTGTTTTTAAAATATTTTTTGGAGTATTTTTAAAGTTTTAAAATTTTTAGAGTATTTAAAAAAAATTAAAACTACTATTCAGTACCATCACGTCCTCTCTCTTCCCCTCTCCCCATCCCTGTTCCTCCTCCTCCTTCCTTCTCCCCTTCCCCTTTCCCGCACCTCGCCCTTCTTGATAAGGTGTTAATTGTTAGTAATTTTATTGTTAATTTTTTCCTTTGTCCTTGTCAAATATTGTTTTAATCATTAATATCTACTTATATTTGATATTTGGACTCAATTTCAGGGAGTGGAGCGGAAAGGTGCAAAAAAAAAAAGGGAAACTTTCTTGAAAATTTTTCCACAGGTGGAAGGCTTCAAAAGGCTCCACAAACCTGGCCCACATGGAGAAGAAACGGACTTCCTTTCCCTTGGGCTGATGAAGAGTTGCTGAGTAGGAGTCTTCCTATCAAAGAGGAAACGAAAAAAGTGGAATTCGCAGGGCTCTCTTTTTGTACCCTTTCTCTCAATTCGGCAAAAAACACGTAGGGAGCACTAGTCATTGTTTAGAGATAGTTTTTTGATTATTCTTCCTTGTTCATGCGGGCCGACTGTTATTGATTGGGGTTAGATTTTTCTAATTCTTAATATAATTGGGGAATTAATTTCTACGGTCGTACTTAAGAGTATTTTCTGGTTAGGAAAATCAATGGTCGTACCTTGGTTATCAATAAATTAAGGAAAAATTGGTCGTCAGAGCTCGTTGGCGACTATAACTAACCTATTAATAAAATAAAGTGAACCTCCCTTGCATCAATGATCGGATGAATGGACTGTGTCTGAGTAGTTGTATCCTTGGTTAGAATTTATCTATTCTTGATTTAATTCCTGTTTACCTTCGTACTAGTTAATTATTCGTTTTAGTTGAATTGCTTAATTATTTTTTAGCTTTATTCCGATAAACCCCCCGTTTACCAATTGGAACCGCAAAGAGACAAATACCCCAATCCCTGAGGAGATGACCCTGCCTGCCACTGTCTACTAGTTAATAAATTTTGTCAACTAATTAATTCTGGTATATCGGATTAAGCAAACTCTTCAGGAATAGGGTGAATCAAGTAACTCATTGCACACCTAGAGTCCCTGTTCCAGTACCTAGAATTGATTATTCACTGCTTTTAGTGATAGTTAGGTTTTAATATTATTATTACACAGGTTCGGCACCTATCACTTCCTCTCCCCCTCCTCGATCTGGTCTCGACCAAATGGAGGCCTCTGGTCAGAACCTAGTCGCAATAAGATTTTGGGGGGGGGGGGCGGAGGGGGGGAGAGGTGGATGTGATGGGAAAGGGGAGGAGAAAGAGGGAGCGGGAATAGAGAGGGAAGGAGAGGATGGTGGTGGCGGTCAATAGTGGTGATAGTTGGAAGAAGAAGATGATGTAGATTTTTTTTTCTTTTTTTTTTGTATATTTGGAATTATTTTTGGTATATTGTATAGATGTGGTATTTTTGAAATTGTTTTTGTTTATATATTATTTTGAAATATTGTAAATGAAAAGCTTGTTTTTCAAAAAATGGAGAATCCAAACTTGTTGAGCTCAAACTGAGTATTTGAGATAATTCTTTGAAAAAATAATATTGCATTCTGTCTTAATATGATATATATGAGATAACAAAGGTGATTTAAAATATAAATAAATGGTTGATGAAATATTTATGATATAATCAAATAAATTTTTGCAAACTAGGACTGATCAAAAAAGGAAAAACTTGTCGATACACTTTCTATTGGTCCCCAAGATTATGCAAATAACACTTTACAAATTTTATAATATTATTTTGTGCTAATTACATTCTGTTTTAATTTGTATGGAATCACATTTCCTCTTGCACTATGGAAGTAGCACTTCCTTTTGATATTCGTGTCTTATGATATTCTTTTTTTTCTTATCATGTACTGCTAACGGTAATGCCTAAACCCACCTTCTTGTACTAATTAATTTTATTACTAATAAAATATAGATTGGCATCCCACCCGTGAACGAGATTTGCCTTTAAAGGAAAAATGGAATCACATTTAACGTTTAGGTAGCTTAAATCTAGTTTTTGCCACATCATTTAAAAAAAAAATTTTTTTTTTTGGCTGACTGTAGGTAGCATTTCTAGCCTTCCACTCAACTTGGAAACATAATACTATAAGACATTAGAAACGGGAACAAGAAGCCCCAAATCCGATGTTAGCCATCACCTAATAGTAACAATTAGATAACAGTTTCAAGTGACAGGAGATTCAATGCTGAAATACGCAAATTTATTTATCTTTGAGCCATCAACCATGGTCCATGGCCTATATCCAAGAATAATAGACCAACCAGTGGAAAATGATTGCCATAAGGGGCTTGCTGACTTGAACAGGCAGAGATTTCAATGCAAATTCCCAACTTTCCCAATCCTCAGATGAATAGGGGAAGTGACAACTTTTTTAGATATTCCATCTTCATTCCAAGCAGAGGTAAAATCCTTGACCACATTTTCATTCAAGAGTTCCACACCCTTCTGTTTAGCAGTTTGGTAGGAAGACCATGATCTTATGTATGTGAAGAAGCCTTCCAAATCCATCACATTCTCTGCTTTGAATTGGAATGGTCCGGTATGATCAACGCCATCCACAGGCTCAAATGGGAAATCGATGGTTTCATATTTATTATCCACCAATTTACGCTCTGGTTCCCAGTAAGGATCAGAATCAACTTTGTAGAATCTTTGGAAGACAGCATCCAAACTGGGGTTAATTTCTGGCACAGTGTAGCACCATGCAGCAATTACTCCATTGGGTTTTTTCAGTGCCCACTTCACTTGTTGGTAGAAGGTAGGAAAATCAAACCAATGCAAAGCCTGAGCAATGGTGACTAAATCGACAGTGGACTCTGCTGCAATGTTTTCTTCAAGCTCTGCAATGGACAACTTTGGGGAAGTACATTGGTATCGAATATTCGGAACCTTTGGTGCAAATTCCAGCTGCTTTGGGCTTGTGTCTGTGGCAATTACATTCTTGTAGATCTTTGCCAGCTGACAAGAATGAATTGCATGGATAAGATGATAAGACAATCTTGCCAGTTGAATTTAGGCAGGCATTCGATGTTAGTAATACAATTCAGTTTGTCCAATCCCTTTCTGATAAACCATATTCAGCTCCAAGGTATTGCTTGGTAAATATTGTGCAGCTTCAAAAATTTACTACTTAAAAGTAAGTTGGTCACCTTAAACAAACAGCTAACCAAGCCAGTAAACAAGCAAAGAAGTAAATTGGACTATTATTAGCCAATTTGACCTGAATTGTAGGGTTGGACTATTGGAACAAGGACCAAGTCACCAATGCTTATTCAAATGTTATCACCAAATCCGACAGTAACAAAAAACAATTACTGCTAATACTGTTTATTGTAAAATGTGAGACAAGCAAATCATAATTGCATAATCACAAGTCTTTTAAGTTAATTTATCCCCTTGAGATGCCTTCAATCTGTTATACATTCCTTTGAGTCCAAATCGTATTCAAAGAGATTCAAAAAGGAATAAAATAAAAGATGTCTGCGCCAGCTGACCTGCAACGTGCGAACTAGCAAACAGTAAAGCACACCATCCATAGTCAACATTCCAATGGAAGGGAGAGAGAAGTTGAGGGACTTACAGCAGCAGCAGCCTGGCCACTGCCAGTGCCCACATCCCACACAAGGTCATGGGAAGGGGTTTTGGATGCAATGAATTCAAAAAGTTGATCTGGGTATCTTGGCCTGCTGGCGGAGTACTGCTTAGCCTGATTCAAGAACAAATCTGCCATCTCTTTCTATCAAGCTGACTGAATCCTCTGATTCTTGGTACCTGCAGAGTTCTTGATTTTATCTTCGGAGTGTTTTAACTCTCTCTTTTGCCTCGTATTAAATGAGTGGTGAGATCGGACTGCAATTTATATGTCTGCAACCAAATCTTGATTTCATGTTAACCTGGATCCAAAAAGGCATGAAAGAAAAGGCCAAATTGCATTGGACTTCCAGGTGCTTGGGAAACAAGGAAGTTGACCAGACACGTAAGATCAAATTCGCGGAACCTTCATTGATGTGAAGACCTTTATTAATTAGCAACGGAGGGGAGGGTAATGACGCGTGTAATGCATGCTATGACACATAGCGTGTAATGACGCGGGTAATGACGCGTGTAATGGCTGTGTAATGCAATTACACATATCATCATTCCGAGGGTAATGATGCGTGGTGTAATGCATGTCGTGACACAAGTTTATTGTAACCGTGTAATGCTAATGTTAACAACAGACCAATTTTTTTGAAGTTGCAACGGACTAATTTTTTGAAGCTACAACAGACAAAATTTCGATCAGACTTGGTCGAGCATATTTGGGAACGATTCAAAGGCAATAACAGTGAAAACTAGTATTCATTTTGTTATTATTTGTATTTTATTTGATTTAAATTATGTAATATTATGTTATGGAGTTCAATTAATTATATAAAGAATTATTAATTAAGTATGGATTATTATGATATCTTCACATTTGAGGTATCACATATTTGTTTAATAATTGCATAATTATTTTTCAAAAAATAACAATATATTATTTTTGAGAGGTAGAAAAAGATATATTGTTCAAACTTAGAAATTAATAATGTTATTTTTAGAGAATAAAAAATCCAAAAGGTAAAATTTTTTTTGAAAGTTAATAATTTATTTTTTAAAAATAACAAAATTATTTTTAAAAAATTATTTTATTTATTTATGAGATATGAATTATGTATTATTAAAATAAATATTTGATTTAATTGTGAACCCATACTATTACACCTTATAGAGTCTAATCCATTGTGAGTGGAAATATAATAAAAGAAGAGAAAGTGAAATACTGGCATACCATACCATGTGAATTACATTCGATTGTGGATAATCTTAACAGAACATGATACACTTTGATGTCACCCATGAGGTAATTGTAGTGTCCTTAGGCAGTTGGGAATTGGGATCTACTTTTTCCGGGAAGACCTGCTGAGCCAATTGGAAGATGCCACCAACCAGCTACCAGCCGCAGGAGATGCACATTTTATAGGAGATTGTTAGTCTTTTTGTTCTAATTTATGCTAAAGTAATGGGGAAAATAGTTCAATTATTACCTGAAACAAAGTGCCCGTTCCTTGCCACCTCACTCGTCTTTTTGATGAGAAATGTCATTCTTGAAGGTAGAGGTGGCAAATCAACCCACTTAATTAGATTTATCCATACTCGTCTATGAATAGATGGGTATAAATATCTTAAATTTTTGTATATAGATATAAATGGGTTACCCAATAATACCAATTTATTAAATGGGTATTATTGGGTAACCCATCAAACCCAATTAACCCATTTAAAATTCTCTTCCCCCCAAGTCTCTTCTTTTCCCCTACCTTTTTTTTTTTTTTCAAATTTTTCATTTTGTCATGATGTTAACATTATTATTATTATTATTATTATTATTTGTTGGTTTTATCTTATTATTTTATTTTTTCTTAGTTTGTTAACTTGCTCATTTTTTAGCATTACCAATTTATGATAAATTTTAGCCTATTTTCTTATCTTTATAAAATGAAATTTTAAATTTATATATGAAAAAATGTTAGAGGTACAAAATTTTTGGATTAAGTTTTATATTAATTTTTATAGTACTTAATTCAAATTTTTATATTCGTATTATTCAATTATTAAATAATAGGTAATTTTGTGACATAGAGTATAAATGAAAAAAATTGGTAATTAAATTTATTGAACATTATAAGTAAATATTTAAAACTAATGATGGGTACAAAGAGTGGTATAAATTGATAACTTAGTTTGCAAAAATGAATTTAAATGAGTTTGTAAAAAGTTAAAATAAATGAGTTATAAATGGGTAATTGGGTTACCTAATTCATTTTTTGACTTACCCATTTATACCCATCTAATTAAATGGGTATAAATGAGTTGACTCACTTATACCCATTACCCATTTTACCCAACCCAAACCCGCTCAAGTCACCCATTTTGACATCTCTACTTGAAGGTACAGAGATGGAGACAATTCTTTTTTTTTTGGGGAATTGAATGTGCAACTCAGAAGAAAACTAATTACACCAAATCCAAAAGGATATAGCCAGCGAAAAGTCTCCAATTTACCACAAATGTTGTTATACGTTTTCGTTCTAAATATTGGAGACATCAAGACGAAGCCAAAATCTAAGGTGTCAAAAGCAAATGTATCTCATATTCTTTACATGTCAGCAAACTCCCAACAATCTTTACCTCACAAGAACAGTGCCAGCAAAACTTGAAAGATTCTTCCCAAAAACAGCAGGTGGCATTTCTTTGTCCAAGATTTAAGGATTCACAAGCTCTTTGCTCCTCATTTATGGATGAATATAGGGCAACAAATTCATGAAAAAGTTAGTCATCAGCACATGGAAATATTAGACCATACTCAAACTCAAGCATGAACATCAAGGAAAACCTTGTAGAAGAAAAGAGAGAATGCTGCTCCAAGAACCCACTTGGAGATACCTAGTACGAAGGTAAGTGAAACAAGAGTAGCAACAATGAGAGCATTAGAATAGGCATCTGAATTAATATGAAGTTGTTCCCAACAACTGAGCGTGAAAAAACATGCCCAGGACAAAGCTAAAGATCGAAAAGTTACAAACTCAACAATAAACCACGTTAGAATAAACCTTTCCTTCCTAACAGTACAATCAGGTGGGAAAAACAATTATCACCTCATCTTTGCAAAAGATTCGCAAGGTCTATCCTTTCTACATATTTCACAAATTTTCCAGCAGAAGAATGAGGCAATATTTTGATTCTTAAAATAAAATAAAATAAATTTATGGGAAAATTCAGCGAAAATCACAACATGCGAAACTTCTCAAATTGTGGATTTTCAGCACTCGGGGTGTATAGCTCTGTATTGCCTTTAATCCATAACAAGAGTTTCAAGAATTAAGTTCAAATTTTGTACATTCAAGTCAAATAAACTTTCTAACTATAGTTTAGCTATTCAACAATGAGCTTCAAACAATTCTGTCAAAAATGTAGAAAGTTACAAGAGTACTGAACTGACCACAAAGACAATGCACACAAACAAGTTTCTCATGTTGAGCAATAATGCTAACTCCCCTTTTGAGGAGCTCTTCCAAATGTCAGCATTAATGAACAAAAGGGCAAGAAGCTAGCTTGGGCAAAAAAGAATGGGACTTATCAGTAATCACATTGTCCATCACAAATGGCATGAAAATTGTTGGATCCAACTCTATCGTCACACCAAGCTTATCTAAGAGAATCCCACAAGCAACTCTACTTCACCTCTCCAAGATAAAACAGTAGCAGAAGACCAAGAAAGAACAAAAAAGGTCAGAAACCTTATGATCACGTAAATATTATTACATTCAATTCTCCAGGAAATCCTGTGTGTAGAATAAGTTCATACATTTTCACCAAATCTATACAAAATTAAGTTCAATGAAGCAACTTCACCATACAAAAGAATAGTTTTAACAATAACAACATTCTGAACAAAATTCATAAACTGAAAAAATACAATTAAACATTAGCATTCCCTTTGAAAATCAAGTGGTCAATAAACAGTTATAAACTCAAAAACTTAAACTTACTAGTGATTGATGTTCAGAAAAGACAAGGAGTTGCTGCCTTCTTCAACGTTGCTGATGATGAAATGAGACATGTTCTAGGGCTTTACCACCAAAAGTTAAGGGGGTATCAAGAACAGCTCTATTTGAGAAATCATTTTTAGCGGATTTGGCTGTGAAATTCTCATATCATCTTGTGAGACTTAACTTCAAAATCAGAAATCAATTATTACTCCAAAAGCCCAGGTAAAAGAAATTGATAACACGTGGAATCATGCAGCCAATAGGAATCCCTAAGAACTATTTATACGTAAAAAGACCCCTCTTAAGATACAGGAAACGAGCAGAAAATATCAAAAGGAGTGCTGCATGTTACATCAAGTTATCGGCATGGCATACATTTATATCTTATATGAAACTGTACAGAGTCTACTACGTGTATTTTATTGCCAGAGTGGTTAGGCTTAATCACTTTAACCCAAGGGTTAAAATGCAGCAGCATGTGAGACAGCAAATGAAGCGTAAATGACTGACAGGAAGCAATCATAGTCAGTGGAATTGCAACAAAATAGACTTTTTTTACAGTCCAAATGACAGCTGTACTCATTTGCTGAGATATTCTTTACCAATTTATTCACTGTGAAATAGCACGAGAACAAAGAAAGGAAAATCTGTATTTGGGTAATTGCACAAAAGTAACACTACTAGTAGGGTAATCATATGGTAAGGAAGGAAGATCAATCAAATCTAGTAATCAGCTTAGGTGTGTAACAAGTTACTTCCGATCATATGCTCAATTGACATTTTTCATTTATACCCTTGTACTTTCTTGTTACAACTACAACACCTAATCGCCTCAACAAATATTTTGTCCTGAGGTAGACATTATCATATATCAATACAGTTCTAAACCTTGTAAAACAAACACCAGCCAACAAAGTCAAAAGCTTCAAAAAGATATTATATTCCATAAAGAAGAGCTTAGTACTCCATTACAATTTGCATTAGCCACAAAAATACATCATATAACCTAGGAACTTTACATAAAATAGATTATCTTGCAAACCCCTCACAAGCAGGTATGTTGATGACAACTGATAGTTGATTTCTCAGCTCTGATTAGCAGCCCAATGTGGCTGTGCACCAGCAAAAGCACCCCAATATAAAAGGAATTAAAAATTAATCACACAAGTACAAACTCTGCAGATACGTATGGTGATAATAGAATATGGATTGCTTTACCATCAGAAACTGAGTTCCAGTGGGAGACATTGCAGTACCAAGCCCATTGAAGTTCATTAAGAAGTTCCTATTTTCCAATACAGCACCCTTATGTGGCACAAAACAGACCCGTTAACAATGTCACAGATATCATCACAAAATTTGGTGCCATATAGTGTCTCCAAAAATACAAATCCTTATTATATAAACAAACATACATTGTTCGCACGTTGGACCACTTCCACAGAAGATTGACCAATTAGGGAATTGCTATTGCTATCCTGAATCATTCAAAAAGTATTAGTATGGGCAAAAGTGCCTCCAGTTTTTCAGCACCAACCTACCATTCTCAGACATTTAGAAGCAATTTTTTGCATTATAGAGCAGGCGTAATTTGAGAGAGTGGTAAACTGCCAATTTAATTGCTCAATGATCAGTGTTTACCTGGGACGGATACGAAGTAGCTTGATGTAAATGCAAAAGGTCACCAGTAGATTGGGAGCAAGACCTAGCCTGAGCATCACATAACAGAACCAACAGTTCTTATTTAGCTAACAACCATGAAGGAAATGTTGTTCATTTAATAAAAGTATTTTCTATATCACTTACTGAAACAGAGTTATTAGCTGATTGAGGAGAAGACACATGGTCAACTGAAACTTCTTGGCTTTGATCAGCAATCTATCAAAAAAGGAAGTGTGATCAATCTCAAATGCTGCACATGAAGTCTACCACTAAACAAACTTGAAAAGATAATAGGTACTAGTTACAACTACCTGAACTTGGTTGTTATTTGACTCATACATACTCTTTTCACCGAACATGTCAGTCCAGCTTCCTGTCCGTTTATTGGACTTGCAGCCCTGTCCACTTTTTGAGCCTGATGGGTTTACACCCATGGAAATTACCAAAACATCTTCTTGGTCTGTTGCATTATAAGATGACTGGTGATTTGTGCTAGCTTGTTCAATTGACATCTGCTTATTACATATTTCTTCAACTTTTCTTGTCAACTTATCCACACATTGCACAAGGTAGTCTGTAGCTTCTTGACATTCTGCAGCCCTAATAGCAACCCTAACTAAAGTTGAACACAGCATTCTATACCGCCCTACAACTTTCAAATGGACATCCTCCTCCATATCATTCTCCTGGTTAGGTCCTTTCAAAATTCCTTTTTTTGCATCTCTTGTCCATCTCTTTTCTATTAAATCATTAGGCACTAACTTTATGTTAAGTAAATCTAGTACTTTGATTGCATGGGAGCACAAAATTCCTTCACATTCATACTTCTGACAACTACACAAGACTGATTGAGTAGATTTCTCACAAATGACTCTCTGATCATCTCCTCCATCATAGCGTGCCAACATATACTCATGCACATTATCATTTACTGTATGACCCTTCACTACCAAGGCAAGAGATACGTCAAACTCATCTTGGAACTCCTCAAATATAGTAGGAGTATATATCTCTGCAACCTGATTAAGCATGGGTGAGTACTTTATCTTCAAACTTGGTACCTTTTGCCTTGCCCCATATTCAGCAGTCAATTCTTTGTATCTTCTTTTCTCAACAGCCCTATGAAACTCGGTAAAGAATTCCACCAAATCTTGATCGGTCTTTAAATGATGCTTGAGGTCTGCATTGAAGCTTTTGCTGAGTTGCTTGCTTCGCATGCCTAATGTGAGCTTTGTCTTCATGTATGTCTTTGCCCATTTTTCTCTCAGCTCATAAATACTCTTAAGCCATGTATTAGAATCCAGGTTATGTTTCTGAAGCATCTCTCTCCAAGTTTCCTCAAATGCTACTTCATCTTCAATTTCAAGCATACACTTGCTAAACAATTGTACCAGACCCGTTTCAGTCCTCATCATGTGGCCAAGGTGTTTCAGGAAATTTTGACGAATATGATGCGTGCACAACCCATGGAAGGTGTTTGGCATCACTGAAGCTGAAGCTTTTGCCATGGCTGGTTCTTGATCCGTGAAGAATGTTCTCGGTGGCTTACCAGACATGGCTTCTAGAAAGGTTTGGAACAACCATTTGTAGGAGTCAACACTGTCATCATATAATAGTGCAGCACCAAATATTACCATCTGGCGGTGATGATTAAATCCCAGAAAAATGCCCAAGGGACGATATTCCTCGTTTTTTCTAAATGTCGTATCAAAAGTAACCACCTCTCCAAAATATTTGTAGTCTATAGTCATCCTTGCATCAGCCCAAAAGACATTAGTTAATTGTTCCTCACTATCCAATTGTACAGCAAAGTAAAATGATGGGTTTTCCAGAAGTTGCTGTTGAAAATATCTGAAAATGGTTCCAGCTTCCCCAAACCTTAAGCCTCTAGAGCGCTTGTTTGGAAGATACCCCAACTTATCTACAAGGTTATTGGACTGCTTCAATGATAACCCATATGCATCAACCAATTCAGAATTATCCTGTGTAATTGTTGTCCTTCTCTGTGAGGGGATCAAGTGTACGCATTGTGGAATATGCAATGGATGATTGTGCTCTGCCACAAATTGTGTCACCTTATACTTTTTTGTGTCCCTGTCAAGTAGTATAATGACACAAGCAAGACATCCTGTCTTAGTTTCTGCACGAGGTCTCTTTGTTTCCCTATCCCTTTTATCCTGACGCCGGAATCCTTCTTTATTACATGCAAACTTCCTTGAAGTTACTATTCCCAATTTATCTTTGTTACAATATTCTTTTCGAACACCAAATCCAATGGTTGCTGCATACATGTTGTAGAATTTGTAAGCTTTGTCGTCTGAATCAAACAATTGTCCATAATAGGGTATGAAACCCTTTTGCGTCATATCAAGCTGGTCTTCTTTGTCTCCCATTTCTGCATTCACACAAAGAAAAACACTGAAAAGAAATAAATAGAACAACAAATTCATGGTACTGAACATGCTTATAACTGATTGTATTCCAAAAAAAAAAACTAATCTACTAAAGAACATACATTTCAACTAGGGGTTTCAACAAACCTAATCTAGTCAAACAATACAATTTTCAAGCTTGGTATGATTTTTTTTCTTTGAAAAGATCTTGCTTTGATCTTAACTTGAGCTGAGCTAAAACAACCCAGTATTACTAAGCCATGCTCAAACTGATGTTGAATAGCTTGGTTTATACACATGTAAATTTCAAGTTTCATGCTTATGCAGCCGGGCTCAACTAATTTTGAAAACATAATTAAATAGAAAATTATGGTTGCATTAGTTGACGAACCAATGACAACTGAACACCACCTCTTGAGCAATACTGCACAAGTATCGAGTAGATTAGTTCGTCTATCACCTACTATACATGTAAACAATATGGAATGGAAAATCCAAAAAAAGAAAAATAAAAAAAACAGCTCATATGACAACCTAGTCATTAAACATGGTTTCAACAAGATAATGCCTGAGTTACATAATGAATTTCTCTAATTTAATCATCTTGTCAACTATGCTAGCACACACTTGCCCAATACATTATCAACCATATCGTATAAGCATGAACATCTCCCCTACCATGTATGAATGGTCGGCCGCCCATGTGGCACAAGGGGATTGGCTTCTTAGTGACGTGGCAAAAGGAGATTGGTGGCAAGTTTGGTCATCCTCACACGTGTCCGGCATGTGACATGTTTTTTTCCCATTTGGGACAGCGTTGGGCTCAAGGTCTTCACTGGAAACCAGGAACTGCCCTAGATCTACCCGCAACAGATCTTCTGTCCTACATCCTGTACCACTCACTGTCCCATTTTTTGTTATATTGCTATTTCTCCTACATAAACTTCATGTTTTAGTTCTTTTTTGTTTCCTTAAGATCCAATAACTATCAATTGACTAAAAAATAAATACAACAGCTTCAAAAAAGTAATATGTAATAGAAAATTAAAAATACAGCAGAAAATTCATAAAAAATCTCATTTTTATGCTTTTTGATTTTGTTAAATTTTTTGTATTATTTAGTTAATAGTTATTGGATCTTAAAGAAACAAAAAAGAACTAAAACATGATATTTATGTAAGAGAAATAGCAATATAATAAAAAGTGGGACAGAGAGTGGCACAGGGTGTGGGACAGAAGATCCGTTGTGAGATCTACCCACTCCAGACGTTCTCCTCTCCTCTTCTTTTCCCTTTTTCCTTTACTCGATCAATCAATATTCTTCCTCTGCTCTTCTTCCCTTTTCTTGTGTTCAGCATAAGTCAATATTCTTCTCTCCATCTCTCTCTTATTTATTTTTTGTTTGTCTCTCAAGTCCACTGCTTCCTCCATTTTAATATTGTGTATCCTTTTTTCCCCCTTGATTAAATTTTCTTTTATTCTCTAACAAGCTCCATACTTTTGCTACAGGTTGAGAGATCAAGACTACCATCAAGGATGAAGAATTGTAGAGATTCTTGTCTCAAGGTGAAGACTTGTTAGGCTTCTGTGTTTCTTTTTTCAATTTTTTAGGTCCAAAAATGAGTTAACCTCAGGTTTTTTTTCCTCGGAGTGTTTTTTAAAGTCTTTCTAACAAATCTGATTTGGTCAAAATTTTCTGATTCAAGGTATATGTCAGATAAAGTAAGAAAGAAAAAAAGATGGAACATTTTCTTCATTGAGCCTTGTGGGTATGTGCACTGGCTTATGTTTCAAATTTTCTGTGTTCTGCAGCTGTTTTTGCTTTGAGAGATTTGTTATCAACAGCTGTTTGTTTAATCTCTTTACCACTATTATTAGGTCTTCAAGAAATGGAGGATAAATGACTGAAGATATGTTATTTTTCTCAGGTATTTTGTTATTCTTTTTTATTATGTAATTTTGCCTATTATATGGTTACCTTGTCTATTTCTTTCTTCTTTTTTTTTTTTTTGTTTTCCTGACAGTATACGGTTATCAAAGAGAAACTTGTGCTGCATGTTGAATTGTTCCCTAAAATTTCAGTGAAGTCATGAATAAGAGGAGGTTCTAAGGTCTCTATCCAGTGATGATCCTTGAGGTCCATTATTTTATGTTTCCACTCTTTTGCATTGAAAATTATGATAATTTCATTAGAAATGGTCTTATCTTTTTTTTCCCTGTGCTCTCAAAGTTTAATTCTCCAGTTGATATTTTTAGCAACTCTATCTAGGTGGGAAACTTAGAATAAAAGGATGTGGATTGACTGTTTCTACTAACCACCCGTTTGGTTGGGAGGTTTTGTACCCCTCAATGGGAATAAGAGGGTAATCACTCCCACTGATGGTGCTTGGTAGACTACTATGACTTTTTTGATTACCCACTTTTAGGTCTTCAAATACCAATTTGGGCACTTTCACTTCTCATTCCTCCACCTTTTAGAACAAAATAAAAATAATCAAAATTAAAGTTGAAGAAAAAGTAAAAAGAAGGAGAATGCATCTCCTCTTCCCCTTCTACTCCATCCCTGTAACCTCTCTTCCTTTCCTCTCTCCCACCACCCTCCATATTGCCGCCTCTTGCCTTCCCTTTCTACTCCATCTCTGCAACCTTTGTTCCCTCCCTTTCCCTCACACCATTGATTAAGGATTACTGTCTTGTATATTATATCTTCAGTTTACATCCCAATGCAGTAGCACTGAAAGCGTTTGGCAGCGACACGCAGTTTGGCAGTTGTCAAAAGATGGAGAAGAATTACAAAAGAAAAAAAATGGAATTGTGCTAGCAGTGGGTCTTTACAAAATGGAAGCAGGAAACAAAACTAAAGTGGCCAAGGGAGGTGGTTTGGCAGTGTCTCAAAATCAAAGAGCAAGCAACATAAGAACAAATAATAAAGAAAAGAGGTTGCGGTGGGAGGTGGCTGCGAATTGGGAAGAAGATGAACAGCAAGGAAGAAAAGGAAAGGAAATTGAAGAAATTTAACGGATTTTTTTTTTATTTTTAAAATATATCATTCCCATTACACAATGGCACTTCCAAACACCAGATTTCATTACAAAGAATTTTCAGAAACTCGTTGCCACTGAGGGGGTCTTTCATAGTGATTCTCATTGCCATTCCTCAGCAGCAACCAAACAGCTGGTAAATTCTTTTAGTTAGTTACTCATAACTTTATAATTTTCTGTCTTGTTGCAGCAAGCTATTTCATAATGTCTGGACGACTTTTTATAGCTTAAGTGAGAGAAATTCCATCCTGGGGCCTTTTTGCTTTGTTCTGGATCAATAACATTTGATTTAATCCTCGAATGTCATGTTTGCTTTGGATAGATGTTTAGCATGCCATCTACTACATCATGTTTGATTTATGCCTACAAAGTGATATATACTTTGCTAAGATGTTTAGCATGCTATTAGTTAATTTGTTCGATGTTTGGCTTAAAAATATTTGTTGCTAGTTGAAGTAGTAGAGTTTTAAAGTATATGAGGTGTCTGATTGTTTGCCTCAATTGATCATGATCAGCAAACCAATGTCAAATGTAAAAAGTCAAGGTTGGTGGACTCGATAAGTCTGTTAACGAAGTTACCTGGTATTCTTGCTAATGTTGATATTGGACAACTCTCTTCTAGATGCTAATTTCTTTTGCAATTTTCCTTTGACCACCTAATTTTGATGCTGATTTTTTCCTCATCTCCCAATTATCAGCTTCTCCCATTTCCTCATTGTCTTCTTTTTCATCTCCCTCTTCTCTTCCTCCCTCAGGTAGTAATGGCTGATATCTTCTGTTTATCTGCCATTTTTTTCCTGATATTGCCTTGGCTAAAAAGCATCAAATCCTTTCCCTCTCCTTCATGCAAGGAAGATGAAGGTTGGTATCTCATCCTCACTATCTGATGTGAAACTCACTATCAGTATTCTAGAAGTCATTTTCCTTGGCTAGATCTTCATCTCCACCATATAACTTGAATTCCTAGAAAGAAGTCGAGTTTTTCTCTTTTAGAGATTTTTTTCCTTTTTAAATTGTGAACTCTTTAAAGCTGATCTAATGGGACTTTTTTTGTTCTTTTGGATTGTTCTATGCACGTGTATGTGCAACTATTGACTCACAAAAGGCAATCTGTAGGATAACCAACTCAAAATCTCCGTTTATTGAGATCAAATTCCTTGATGTTCTAGCTTTAGTTCTTTGGCCCAGGAAAATGATAGGAAAAACAAGTGGAAGTTAAAGCCTCTAGCTCTTAGAATTCTCTAGGTATTACTTCTATCTACCACATTTTTTTTCCAGTACAGTCATGTGATCTGTAATTTTGTGATTTTGCAAGTGCAAAGAGAATTGAGAAACCAGAAAAACCAGAAATAGATTTCAGATCACGAAATCCATCTATCTGTCATCTGATCTTTTTCCTAACACACTACTGTTCTCTCAACATTTCAGGATTAAAGAGAAATAGCTTCTCGGTCCACAAAGCAGAGGAAATGCTAAGAATATTCTCTGCTGTCTTTCAGGTTATCATTTTTCTTTTGTTAGGGCTAATTTCTTATTTAAAGTTTTGTATTCGTATCATTAAATTTAGTGATTACTTTCTTAGTTGAAAAAGGTCAGGAAAAAGGCTCATCTTCAAAAAGAATATTAAGAAATTTTATAACTGAAGTTGGCTTCATCTGTTTTGAAGTTATTTTTGTTTGTTCTCTGAATATTAGATCTTATTTTTGCCGCTCTGTCATGGTTTTTGCTACTAAGGCTCATATTTTGATTATGAATTATGTCTAAACAAGTTGAATATGATGTCAATGAGCTTCCTAAGAAAGAGAAGAGAAAGTTTTGTTTTAGGTAAATTAATGTCCTATCATTCACTTGTGGTATATTGATTCGTATCAGAGATTTCTTTTATCTACTTAGTTGAATTCTTACCGAGTACTATATAATTGTGACCCCTATCAATTATTTTTGGCATTTTTCAGCATGGTGGAATGGTCAAAGTTTGGCTTAAAACAGGATATGGTCTATCTATGTGATTTACACGCTAGAATACCATGTGATTTTTCTGCCTGTTAAGAGTATGATTTAACTATGATGGTTGCTCATGTGTCCTTTTTATGCCTTAATTAAAATTTAGCAGCCTTTTCCTGAGTCATGTAGAACGCGGATACTGGAACTTCAAAAGTAATGGAGTTTTGATCTTGATTGTATTTTATTTGCTTCTTTAAGGACTTGCATAAATTATTGCGACTTTGTAATTAATAAGGTACTTGTTTTTGAATGCAGAATATGAGAAGCCGAGAATAGTTAATTTTGACAAAATGATATAGAATTAATCTTTTTTCATCATTTTTATAGTTATTGGTTAGTTTCTGAATTTGGGACAAAAGAGAGGACTGAAGTTGGCATGACCTCTTAGGTGAAGCATGATACACCTCTTCACTCAAGCTCCATTGCCCATGTATAGTATAAGTGGCAAGAACATTGATGAAGTCCTTTTATTGTATCTTGCAGTATTATGATTGGAGTGCTATTCTAGCATTTGGATTAAGATTTAAGTAATTTTAATAGCTCCATTTAATGTGGAATTGTATGAAGCTAATTTCCATTTTTTTGGTTAATGGATATTTTTTTAATAATAGCATCTTTGCATTTCATTTATGAGACTAGTTTTTAAATACTGATGAGGATACTGAGAACACTACAGCACAATGTGACTATTGGCCAGTTGGATAGATACTAATTATGTAGTTGTGGTTTCTTACCTTTCTGAAAGGCATATTGTATTACAATTTTCACCTCTTTTGTTCTTTATGACACAGTTTTTGATCAATTATATACATTCCAATCATGCAATCCTAAATCTGTAGTTTATCATTTAACATCCATCAAGATTACAAAAATAATTAGAAATTAACTGGGCATAATTGGGCACCCTAATCCATCTCCTAGTTTTACACTAAAATGTGAAACCAGAAAAAACACATCCCACTAAAAGTTTCACAAAAACGCGAGAGATAAGAACAGCAAAACGGCCAATCAGGATCAAATTCTTTCAAAAGATAAAAGGGTTTACCAGGAATCTATCTGCTGATTAACCCGCCGCTGACCCTGTTATGATTCGCCGAGACTCGAAAACGGCGGCGTTAACATGGAATCTGATCACTCAATTTGCAGCGGTTGTACGGGATTTGAATGGTCTGAAAATTCCTTTCTGGGTTTTGATTTCGGGAGGGAAAACTGAAATGGAGAGTTCAGTAGTCGGTGGGGAAGTTACAGATTCAACACCATTCTTTTGTTAAATTTTGCCGCTGCAAATTCAGGTGATCAGTTCGAGGTCTTGCCTGGTTCGTTGATGAAAAGCTGCAGTGCTAAAACGACAGCGTTTGGTTAGGGAAAGCAGGGCCCAAGTTAAACGACGTTGTCTTGATTTGATTTTGGCGAAGTTACTTTTCTAGCCATTGAATTTTCTTAAATGTCACATTTTGGTCGCTGACTTTGAGTTGTTAAATTTGTTGTAGAGTTAAAAAGCTGATTTTTGTTTACGTTTTATGAACGCGGTAACAGTTGCATCGTCTCACATTTGATAAAGTTAAAATAGATGTATTTTGTTCTTAGTAAATTAACTATCTAATGCAAAACTTGAGGGTAGTTATGAAATTAAATTATTTTCTCTCTCTCGTAACACCAATTTTATATTATTTTTGTATTTAAATTGGGCTGATTTGTTACTAGCTAATTAGTTTTTGGGGAGGTTTCCCATATTGTGAAAATTTCAGGGGAAGGCAGTGAGACTATAAAAAACCCTAGGGGAGGTTTCCAAAATTATCCCTTTATTCTGTAAATGGGACCGTCCTTACTGTCCCATGAAAGATTGGTCCAGAAATGTACGGACGCCAGCTCTCTGAGTCTTTTCCCATAAAGATATGTAGCTGAAAATCAGTAAGCATTGGATTTTGATTCTTTTAGATCATATCTTTCTTGTGCATTTCAATCATTGCAATTTAATAATTGTTTTGTAGATTGGATTTACATGTTTAGTTTTGGAGAGGCCCCTGATCTGGACACGAGGCCTGACATGTTTAGTAAGTCACCGGTTGAATTGATGGAATTTTATAAAGTAATAAAATAGCGTAATGGTCCCGTGTGAATGGTCCAGCGGCAGTGCCTCTCACCAGTGAATCTTGAGGTCACAAGTTCGAGTCTCCGCTCCGCTGGATTCCTCCGCGCATTTAACGTGTTCGGACCGGGTTGAGGCGTCGGACCCGGACCGCAGGGGATTAGTCGGGTCTCGTAAGGATTGATCCGGACACCCCTGTGTCGACAAAAAATAATAATAATAATAAAATAAAATAGCGTAACGAAGTTATTGAAAATTAAAAGTATGAAAAAGTAAAAAAGATAAAAGCTAATATGTAGATAACCCCAACTTGTTTTAGCTTGAATAGTTTTAACTTTTAAATCACATTGTACCCGTCCCAATAATGTCATCTTTTTGCATTTATATTTTAATAGGTTCAAACCATAGTGTAGTAGAAGTAGGCTGCAAACGAATCGAGCCGAGTCGAGCTTTAAGCTAATCGAGCCGAGCCTTGGCTAAATTTTATCAAGCTCGAGCTCGAGCTCGAGCTCGACGAGCTGGCAATTTTCGAGCTCGAGCTCGACTCGAATCAAGTCGAGCCGAGCTCGAAAAAAATAAAAAAAATTATTTTATTTTTAAAAAAAATAAATAAAATAATTTTTTTTTCTGAATAAATAATAAAATATTAAGGATATATCCGTAATTTCACTATGAAAATAAAAAATAAAAAAAAATATATATAATATAAGTAATTTTATTATTAAATAAAAATAAAAAATATATATATATATACTCAAACTCGCGAGCCGGCTCGCGAGCTAACGAGTTTAATATTCTGAACTCGAGTTCGAGCTCGAGTTTGACTCGAGCTCGATTAATGTCGAGCTCGACTCGAGCTTGACTCGAGCGGCTCGCGAGCGGCTCGATTCGTTTGCAGCCCAAAGTAGAAGTATATTTGGTAGTTAATTTTGAAATAATTGACTTTAAATCCCAAAAGAGAGGGATGCATCCAAAGTACTCGATTGCTACATTACACATAAATTTTAACAGTTTTTTTTTTTTTTTTTTTTACCAAAAAAGCATTTCTGATTGGAGATCGAAGCAGAAATTCACGTTAAATACTTCTTTAGAGCTAAGAAAGAAAATAAAACTTTCAGCTCATGATAAAAAGGACCATTTTGAATTGAAGCACCAAATTCGACACCCAAAAGGATATGCAAAGGATAGTCAACTTGGGAAGGATCTGAGCAGTAGTTGTTGTAGGCATATAGGCAACAGAAAAAAAAAAAAGAAAAAAAGGCAGCACTTTTTTTTTTGGTCTTTCCTTTTCTTTCTCATTTTTAAGTAGTTTTACTTTTGCTTTAACTTTCTTCACACTGGTTTTACGGGTTCTTTATAAATATTTGGGTATTTAAAAAGGTTAGATTACAAATTGGTCAAATTACAAGATTAGTAATGTAAATTGTACAAGCCTGAAGCAATGTGAATATATATTGAGCATAGACTTTTTCTTCCTTTTTTTTTTTTTTGAGCAATTATAGGCAATTTCTGCAGTTGATAATCTAGGTTTAGTTCGTGAATACCTTGGAAAAAGAAATGGTTTAATTCTTTTTCAACGTATTTATTTTCTTTCCTAGTGAAACATGCCCCTTATAATTTCTAGTTTTTCTCCTCTCCAGCTTGGCCATTTTTTGGTTTCATTCCTTTGTAGTGGTTAACTAACCGCCGTTGTCTATCTTGAAATAATATGTAGAGGATCCATCTAAGAAACGAAGAAACATACTTGATGTTGGATGCGGCATTGGTGGCAGCACCAGGTACGTAGCTAGCAAGTAAATATGGTGCTCAAGCTAAAGGCATCACCCTAAGCCCTGCTGAGGCCGAAAGAGCTCGTGTTCTAACTGCTGCCCAAGGATTGGAATGTCAGGTTTGCATGAACTATATGCATTACAATTTCCTTTTCTTAAGGGTTGAAAATATTTGTGGGCGTTGATAGTAGATGATTATTTCATGTAGACGACACCTTTTCAAGATTTTGCGTATAAAATATACTTGTATTGACTTCTGGATATCATGCAGAGCTTTTTGTAAACATTTTGCGCTGGGTTTTGTTAAAAAGTTACTACAATTAATGTTCTTAGTAAATATTTTAAATCATTATAATTTTTCACAAGTTAGACATCCGATTGTGCTTTTTTTTTTTTTTTTTTTGACAAATTTTCTCCAATATTTTCATCCATAGAAAGCAAGAGATGCATTTTCATAGAATGCTAGATGCTAACCCGTGCACGTACACAGATTTGTTTTGTTTTTTTTTTTTCTATGAGAAATGTTATAGACAGACTGAAGTAACATACGAACTATACTCATTTAGTTTTATTTTGATTATTCATCCTCACCTTCATTTTTACACACTAATAATTTCAAATTTTTAAATCCTAAAAATTAGGGGATAAAATTATCCCATGATAGAATCGAATTCAGATACGTATTATCAATGATCTTAGGTGTAGAAGATAACTCTTGAATTTGGCTAAAATTATTTGAAACCACCTATGTTTTGGATTTATGTTTCAAATTAAGAGACCAATCCAATTATGACTGAACTTTATCAAATTTATATACAAAAATAGGTTTAACTTGAGTTCCAAATGATCCATAAATAACTATTATTTGGAAAGAGAAAAACTCTATATATAGAGCAAATGGCAAAAAATATTACTAAACTATTAACTTTTACGTCATTTACTCACTAAACTATTTTTTTAGCCAAAAGTATCAGTCAACTAACAAAATTGTTGCTTTTTTTGTGTTTTGTCAAATTTTGGAGTTAGAACAAATGGAAAGGCAGTCCCGTGACAAGCAATAGCGTGCTTATAGGGGTAAAAATATCCAATTGAGGGTAAAAATACATGAATCACAGAATTAGGGACTTTAACTGAATTATGTTAAAATCCTAAACTAAAAAATAGTCTAGTGACCAGAAGACATAAAAGGTTAATTGTTTAGTCACACTTTTTGCCATTTACTCTATTAATATATATGACTAATCTCTATAGACTAACCAACAACTTAGACACTATTGGATTTGAATGCATATCATATGTGCAAAGCATAAGTTTCAAAGTCAAATTAAGATTAGTCGTCAAATATGTTAGTGTATAGAAAATTTTTTTATATATACATATGTTGATTATGTCAAGTCTTAAATTCAGATGAAGTCTTTATTTCAAATAAATTTAGTAAAATGACTCGGAACTTGCTTGCAAGTTCCAAGTAATATATATATATATATATATTATGAAGATCGATCAGTAGTGTTGCTTCCTTTTCCTAACAGCTGCTATAACATACGTAGCAGATATCCTTTGAAGTGGCTGATGCATTGAATCAGCCATTTGAAGATGGTTCATTCGATTTAATTTGGTGTATTGAATGTGAAAATCACATAAGCGATAAAACAAAGGTTATTTTTCTTCTTCCATCCTTGACAATTACTATTTCTCTTTATTTTTTTTGTTTTTATCATTCTTTAAAAAAGATTATATATCTACTTGTTGAACGTAGATACCACATATATGTAATAATATAAGATTCTGCTGATGCTATTTTCTTCTTGATGAAGTTTGTTCATGAGTTGAATCGGGTGGCTGCCCCTGGTGCTACTATCATTTTACTCACTTGGTGTCATAGGCAGGGTTACAAACGAATCAAGCAACTCGCGAGCGGCTCGAGTCAAGCTTGAGTCGAACTCGATCAATATCGAACTCGAGTCGAGCTCAAGCTGGCTCGAGTCGAAATCGAACTCAAAATATTAAGCTCGTTAGGCTCGCGAGCTCGAGTATATATATATATATATATATATATATATATATATATATATATATATATATATATATATTTTTTATTTTTTTAATTTTAAATATATTATATATTTTTTATTTTAAGTATATATATATTTTTTATTTTAAGTATATATATATTTTTTATTTTCTTATTTTAATAGTAAAATTACATATATATCCTTAATATTTTATTATTTATTAAGAAAAAATATTATTTTATTATTTTTTTAAAAATAAAATAATTATTTTTTATTTTTTTTCGAGCTCGAGCTTTAAATTGCCGGCTCATCGAGCTCGAGCTCAAATTCGAGCTTGATAAAATTTAGTCGAGAATCGACTCGATTAGCCCAAAACTCGACTCGACTCGACTCGTTTGCAGTTCTAGTCATTGGGATCTTTCGCCCCTTGAACATGATCTGC